TTTTTTGGTGGGGGCGTTTTCCGGAACTCGTAATAAACCTAGGATTTTGAAGCTTAGTCGAGACCAGGATCATCCCCTCCCCATGGCCTGTTTAGGGGGGGAGGAGTGTTAAAGATGAAAAAAAAAGTTTTTTTTTTATCCTCCTCTTTTATTATGGTTAAGATGAAAAAGTTTTTTAATCCCCCTCTTTTGTTTATGTTAAAGATAAATAAAGTTTTTTTTAATACCCCTCCTTTGTTTACAATAAAATGAAAGTTAAAAAAAAGGTTTCTCTTTTTGGTCCTTCTTTTGTTTTAAATTAAACACAGTGAAAATAAAACATATGGCTTTTGTGTTTTCTCTCACTTTACTGGATTTCTTACTTTAGGAGTCCTCAGTAAGGTGATCCGAAAATATGAGTTAGACCGTTGGGTCCGGGAGACCACCCTGCATCCCAAGGTATATTTTGAGTTTCGGGAAGTTTAGGGGGGTAGGTTTTGTCCCCAATTATGTACGATAAAACTAACACAACTCGATTCCACAAAAACGTTCTTTTTTTCACTTTGCGCCAATTTAATTTTAATTTATAATTGCGCCTTTTATTTTCCCTATAAAAGGGACGAATTTTTTATAGTTTAGATATACTTTATTTTTTCATGTAAAATAATTTTGAAAATCTTTAATAATCTTTTTTATGTTTAAAATAATGTTGAATTTTTTATAGTTTAGATATATCTGATTTTTCTTTTTGTAAAATAATTTCTTGATATTAATAAAACGATAAATTAAACAATAATGTCTACGACTCGTTCACAAAATACTTCAGTTTCGCTATATTGTCTTCGAGAAAAAGTATTTGTTAATGTGGATTCGCGATAAAAATTTCGCTATAAAATTTATTCGCGATAAAAGTTTCGTGAAAAAGTGTTTCGCGATAAAAGTTTCGCATTGACATGAAACCCTATTATCGACCTTCAAGCTCTCCGATTATGTTACATTTTTTACGGTACGGCCTGTGACACGGAAGTGCTGCACGTCTTTTGTTATATTTTTACAGTAATACTTGTCACACAGAAGTACTGCTTATATAATTTTTATAAGAGAGAAATGAAAATTTTTATTTTAGTTAATAAAAATATTAAAAAAATGTTAACTTTTTGCTTCTCTTTCATGTGGAATATTGAAATATGAAAATAAAAAGTATTTTTTAAAAATTTTTATAGGAATAGACGACTAAACTTTTGTAAAAAAATTAAATATTTTTAGAAAAGTTTCTAAACCATTTCTCAATTTTTGGAAAAGCAACTAAAAATAAAGAGAATTGAATGGGGAACTTAGCTCCTCCCCCAACATTTATAATACGCTATTATTATAAGTAAAAGGTATAAATATGGCAGTGATGTATTGTTTAAAACTTGGGTGGGGCTACGATTTTATATATTAATGAATTTGATATATTTAAAATCGACATATTATATTTAAAATATGTACAAATTCAAAATTTGGAAAGTGGGCTAACGATCAAAAAATTAGCCCCCCCCCCCTCCATAAACTACTAATCTATTAACATAAAGTCGGTCGTAGCTCAAAAGAGGGTATGTTAGGCGAAGCCCCAAGAAATTATGCATAAATAGAGTAAAAAAAACAGATACTTTTTTCTAAATATATTCTACACTTGAGTATTTATTTGAAATTTCAGTGACGCCCTTTATTTTAACTTAAATATTAATTATTATTATTAGTTTTCTAATCTTTTATACTCTAGGAGTAAAATATTGAAACTTATTGCATGCTTTCACATTGAACACAAACCAACTTAGGTCGCTTGATAGACGTGGTGCCCTATGGACGACAATCCATAGACTCCTTAGGAGGGACAGGAGGATCTACATAGCAAAGAAAGCTTTCGAGATTGATAGAGACATTAGAGAAAACAGAACTTTTGATGCCTATAAAAAGCTCAAGCTTTTCTATAGTGCAAGAGTATTCAAGCCTCTCCCATCAATCAGACTGGACAATAATAAATTGATTACCGACCCGGACAAACAGAGGGCTCTATGGTTGGACCATTACATGGAAACCTTTGATTCAAGGAGACCAGTCGTATTTCCATCCTCTAGCCGTACCACAGTATCATCTGATGCAAACTTTTCAGTGGTGGAAATAACTAAGGCCATTAAAAAACTTAGGAACAATAAATCCCCAGGTCCAGATAACATCTTAGGAGAACATCTGAAAGCTGCCCCCTCAGAAGTTTCTCAGCTCTTGCTGGGGTTGTTCAATAGGATTTGGGTTACGGGGAAGATGCCAGCTGACTGGAATTTGACAATTTTTTATAACTTCCCCAAAACCCCTAATCCTGCTAAATTTAAGGATTACAGAGCTATTGCTCTCACATCCATCGTGTCCAAGGTTTTCATGATTCTTCTAAAAAACCGCATTCTTTTGACCACGCCTAATCTTCTGTCCAAGTACATCTGTGCCTACCGCCCAAACAGGAATATCAATGAACCTATATTGGCATTAAAGATATTAATACAGAAGTGTGACAAATACATATTACCATTCTACTTTATCTTCGTCGATTTTAAGCGCGCTTTTGACAGTGTTATTTATGATTATTTGTGGGAAATCCTAGAAGGATGTGGCATTGACGGAAACATCATTAGGATTCTAAAGACACATTACAGTAATCTCTTCGCCTCGTTTAAAATTATTAATAAAGTTTCTCCCCCCTTTAGAACTAAAAAAGGAGTAAAACAAGGGTGTGTCGTCTCTCCGCTGTTGTTCAATATAGTTATGAATAAAATAATTATTGATTCGCTGGGAGCTGCAAATCTTCTGGAACTTGGACTTAATTAGCCATGGTTTTTGGAAAATAGGGTGATTTTTTATGCAGATGACTTAATTATGTTCGCCAAGAGCTTGGAGGAGGCCCACAATTTAGTCTTGATACTTAATTCCTTCAGCTTAAAGGTTGAATTGGATATAAACTTCGATAAGACGGTAATTATGCCATCATCTCATGCGCCCCCATTGGTTGATTGGATGGTTGGGGAAAAGTTGGTCAACGTGGTGTCCTCCTATAAATATCTTGGGGTAAACATGGATAATAGGGGTAGCTGTCACAACTAAAAATTAGAATTCATAATGCAAGGGCTGCTTTTTACAAATATTTCAAACTGTGGAAATCCAGGGAGATATCGGTTTACACTAGGCTACGTATTTTCAATACCACCATCATCCCAATTCTCCTTTACGGCGGTGATATATGGTAGATTACGAAAACAGAGATCAGGAGATTACAGGTGTTCGTCAACAAATGTCTTAGGATAATAAATGGCATTTTTTTACCCCAACATTATCTTTAATGTTAACCTTTGGCGGAGGTCACGTCACACTCTAGTGCAAGTGACTTTGAAAAAGAAACGTCTTACCTTTTTTGCACACATTCTGCGGAATCACACAAATAATAGCCTGGTCCTGGAGGCGATAAATTGGTTATGCTCATTCAACGGCAAAGTCTATGGGAAATATAAAACTTTATGGTTTTATAGGGCAGTGAAGGATATCATGGATTTAAACCTCAACACGAATCAGTTTTTTATTTGAATAAAGATAAGAAATCAATAAATAAACTGTTGAAGATCAAATCAAATCATTTGAATCTCTCATAAACTCCTCCCTGACACAGGTTATTTTTACTTTTGTTTTATCTTCTTTATTTTACTTTTGCTCCCTTTTCTCTCTCCTTATTCTGTATCGAACTTTTCCTTTCATCTATTATTTGCTATCAATTTTCTCATCTTAAAGTTAGGTCCCCCTTTGCCTTTAAAATCTATTATGTATATAAGCATCTTATGGGTGTGGGCTGTGCTTATTTTGTCCTTTCCTCATCAGCAGACGTTTAAGAAATAGTCCTTGGACTATTACGCGTACAAGTACGTGCGGCTTGCCCACAAACGTGTGAAGGGCTCCTCATTTTTATCCCCTTTTTAATTTGTCCAGTCAGATGGATTATGAGGAAAACCTAACGTAGCTCTGTTGTATCCAGCGTCTACATGGCAGAAAATTTGATGGAGGCAAACCCCTCCAAAATCTACCCATACCCACCTAAAAAAATCCTGCGGCCTTCGGCCGCGAAATTTACAGACCTACGATGGTATAGTGATTTTATTTAAAAAATCTTATCTGCCACCATTTATAACCTTACAACATAATTCTATTTACAATCTTTCAAGCCTATTTAGGGAAAAAAAATTTAAAAATTTGTAAGTGATAATGAACTTTTATTTAAATAATGCAATCTTTTCATAATTTGGTATTCACTTTATTTTCATAAAATATATATAAGTGAATTAAATGAGATAACATATTAATATTTCTATGAAAAAGATCTAAAATATTGTAAAAAATATAAGACGAATAAATTTAAAGAGGTATATTTAGCTTGATTCCACATAATTAAAAACATGTATTGTAAATAGAGCTATTATATAAAATATTAGAATAAAATGAATTATAGTATATTTTGCATTGAAATTATAAAATGTTAAATTAAATATACATTATTTAAAAGCCTATATATTCGCTGTGAAAAAGATACATTAATTATTTTATTAATAATTTGGATAACCTTATTGATGTTAAAGCAAATTGTGTTATAATATCATCAATTGTAAATTTTTCAAAAACATCAATTTCGCTGGATATAAACAGTAAATTTCCCAAAAATGGGTCCGAAATTTTATTCCGCATTCGAGTTTTGTTAATTTTTACTTTACTCATGGCTCTTTCGGCTGAACAGGAAGTTGTAGGAAGGGTTAATAAATATTTATATAATAAATTTAAATTTGAATAAGAATTTAATTGATTTAAAAGTCGGTATGGTAATATAAAAGAAAATTTTATCCATTTTTTTATTTTGGTCATGATTTCGCTGTTTATATTTTCTTTGGTAATTTGATCGTTTGCAATACCTTTAATTATATACAATTACAAATAAAATATCAATAAATTACTTTCATCAATATATAACGCGTCATTCTTTTTAACTTTTAAAAGATCTTCGCAAAAAATGATTGATTGAGACTCCAAATATAAAGAGCGAAAATCATTATATTCATCAACAATGTTTTGGACATCCAATTGATAAGTATTACAAATTTCGGATATTTGCCATCCTTCTATTTTTTCATTATCCATAATTCCAGCGGGAGTAAAAATGGATATCTGTGATAAAAAATTTAAACAATCATAATTAAATCGATCATTTAGGTGATTAATTATTGCATTTAGAACAGGGAAAAATATTTCCGTTCTATATCTATAATAATAAATAATAATTTAAATTTTTTTAATTTATTCAACTTGTTTTTTTTTGTTCAACATAATTATTGAATTCTGTTTGATCCAATTTGAATATTGATTTCATATTATACAAATCAGTTATTACATTATTCTTTTTCAAAAAACTATTAGATAAGGAATGTAATTTTAAAAATATATTGTCTCCATTAGCTATATTTTAAAATTATTTATAGAAATAGTAACTAATATTAACCTTTTAGTTTTTGTAATTTATTTTTTGTATGTTGTATTAATTTGGTTACCAAAGCCAAATCATTACCAACTGCCTGCATTTCAATACAAGCCTCATGTGTACATTTCAATATTTCTTTCAAAATAAAAAGACTTAATATAAAATTTTCATCTTTAATTCTTGATAATAACCCATCGGCAATGGAAGAGGTGCTTGGGTCATTAGAATCTTTTAATTCAACTAATGATGCTAAAATATGTTCATAAACATCTAAAAAGATTTCTACAGATTTGTAGGATGATGACCAATTTCTGAAAATATAAAAGTTTCAAGTTTCATTAAAAATATTTTATTTACCTTGTTGTGTTTTTAATTCTTTTAAGAGATTTCTTGGACTTTCTCATTTGATATTTAACAAACACACCTTGACGTCTAACTCCATTCATAAAATTATATAACTCATCTAATATTCCCATTGCCTTTTTCATTTCAATTTTGCATCCACAAACATGAGCAACTACTAAATTTAGCCGATGTGCATGGCACCAAATATAGATGGCTTTTGGAGCCTCTTTCAATATTAAAGCCTGCATTCCTTTGTATACTCCTCTCATATTCCCTGCACCATCCATACTTTGTCCAACCAAATAATCAAGAGGAAGACCAAGATCATTAAACTTAGAAAAAATATGTTTCTTTATATTTTCCCCAGTGGTTTCTGATGTTGTAAAAACATGTATGATCCTTTCTACAGGATATGGATGCAGATCATCTTCTATATACCGTACAAGCAAAGCTATGCATTCTTTTTTAGACACATCATATGTTCCATCTAATATGATGCTATAGGCACGATTCTCTTTAATTGTTTGAATAATGCTTTTTGTTATTTTTATCTTAATAATTTCAGTTATTTTTTTCACGTGGCCATATGACAGTAAATTTATATAAGGTCTCGAAATTTTATCTGATTTTTTTCTCCGCAATTTTTCGTTGTTATCCATGTATGCACGTAAAGTTGGAACCGTTTTTGCCATTAATTTTATGAGACACATAAAATTACCTTCATTCGAATTAGAACCCTAAAAGGCTATATTACATTTTATAAGGTACATAATGGCATTGATAATATTATGAACTATATTACGATTTTCCATGATTATATCAAGCTTATTTGATAGCAAATGATCTTGAATGCGATTTGCAAGCCAAGTCATGTTTGCATATTCACAATCTTTATGAAGAGAAGATGATTCGTGTCTCTCTAAGTCACGCTTTATGTTTTTCCAATTATTTACCCCATGTTGAGTCCAAAAAGTATTGGACTTAGGGCCACCAAACATAATACAATATAGACAAAAGACTTTGTCTAAAGTAGTGCTATAAGATAGCCAATTTCTGGGGTTGAGGGAACCATCTATATTAACCTTTCTATAATAGGTTATATTCATGCTCCTGTTTAAAAAGTAAAAAAAAATATATTGGTATAGAAATAATGGATGGGTAAAAATTAATGAAAATAAATATTATTTAAAACCTCTTGTTAGTAACAGGATATTGAAATTTATTTGTACATGGCTGACAAGGGCCTACAGCAATTATGAAATTTATCAAAATATTTGTCATCCTAAATAATAATACAAAGTAAACACCTCACTGGAACTGGGGATTGGATGAGGAGATAATACAATTTGTGAATCTTCAATAACTGAGATTTTCTATAAATAAAGAGGAGTTTAATTTCTTTCCTTATGATAACTATATTTTTAATAAATTTTTAGGCAAATGATAATTTTTTTTAACTACATTATAATTAAGTTTTTAATAAATGTTTTAATTCTACATGAATACATGATTGAGAAAACAGGTATTAAAAATATTATGAAGTCCAACATAAAGTTATCAGGTTACAATGGAAAGATGATACAAGTAATAGGTAAAGCACAAGTGAATGTAGAATACAAAGGGAATTCACATATTTTGAACGCAATAATCATAAACATCAATATGACTTTGTTAGATCATGTAAAAACATTTTTAAAATATACTTGAAAGATTCATAGGCATGATAGATGCAGATTAATATAAAACTGCGATCACATGAAGAAATCATAAAACAATATTATAATGACTATAAAAATAAAAACAATATTAAGTATAAATAAAATTGTGAAATTCATGATGAAAGTATATTATCTAAAGAAATTCTAATAGCTAAATAAAACAATGATAATAAACATACCTAATATAACACATAATGTAAATAAAGGGGATGAAACTCACACAGATAACATTTTGAAAATAGTTGATTCCAAATCATATTTTATAAGATTTATATTTAAAAAAAGTAAAAGAATTTGAAGTCTTAATTCAATTAAAGATGAAAAGATTTAAATTTAAAAATTCCTAGAAATTAACATTACCTTATTTTACTACATTATATTAACTTAATAAGTTTTTTTAATACTTTGGTTTTAAATTATTATTATTAACTTATTAAACATATTGTTAAATTGAACTTTATAAAGTATATATAGATATAAAAATAGTGTGATAAACAGTTAAAAAACATTAAATAATAATATATATAATTTATTTTCTCTATACCCTGACTACTTTAATATTAATATTATTCTGGTAAAATTTTATATCAGTTTCTATTAATTCACAAATTTATAGTTACAATAATAAATAAAAATATTACTTTTTGGAAGTAAGATGTTATTGTCTTTTTTTGCAACTGGGTTTCAACTCCATTTGTGATATTATATGGAATATCACAATTTAAAGATACCCAATTATTATTATCTCTTTTGATGGCTACCTTTGTAAATTTCATATCAGCTGGCTTGACATGAGGATGTTTATGTTTATAATGTTCATGTATCTTGTCACTTCTTATTTTAGAAGTTTTGCAATTTTTAATATTGCACTTAACTTTAAATATGGTTTTGTTACTTGGCATCTAGAAAGAAATAATTATTATAATATAATTTTTTACATATTATGTTTTTTATTATTCTTTGCTTGCTGATATATGTTTTTATGCATGACTCAAAAAATTACCTAAAATTTATCCTGCTAATATCTATAAATTTATTAAAAAACATAATATAAATATATTAACCTCTAAGAAAAGTACCAAATAGGAAATGTGTAAATATTAACTTGATAAAATGCTAAATGAAAATCGTTGACAAAGAAAATTTATATTATTTATTAATTGACAAATATCTTTACTTTAATTGACATTTTTCAGAAAATCAAACGATAACCATCATAATCGTATCAATTAATGGATTAAAAAAAGATTATAATTCAAATCAAAAATTACCCACCAAAAATCAATACCTACCCCCAAAAAAATAATGCCTACCCCCAAAAAATTAATATCAACCCCTTAAAATCGATACCTACCCCCAAAAATGCTAATATATTTTGGAGGCATTTGTCTCCTACCCCCCCCCCCCCCCCCGGCCATGTAGACGCTGGTTATCAACCCCTTAAAATCGATACCTACCCCAAAAAATGCTAATATATTTTGGAGGCATTTGTCTCCTACCCCCCCCCCCCCCAGCCATGTAGACGCTGGTTGAACTAGAGGGCGAAAACGTTCTATATCACGTATATTTCAATAATATAAAAGAGTTTGATTTGTTTTACTGATTATATTAGTATTTAGATTAGATGTCTACCATGAATACTTATACCAACGATTCTCCTATTCATGATTCAGGGAAACTACTAAAACAAATACACAACAAAAATATTGATCATTATTACACTGCCAAAAGTGGAAGTATGTCAATTTCTTCACCAACATTTAATCAGCATCAAAATATTAACAAAAATAAAATATTATTTGAATCTTCTGTGAATTCCCACAATTATTTTAAAGCGAATTCTATGCCATTTCCTATGCCACCCTTCACAAATTTAACCCTTAATAATATTAACAAAAATGCTAGTTATAGTACAAACAACAAATTAGACTACCCATTTCCTCCATTTTTGACAGATACTCTTAATTTAGGTCTTAGTTTGATCCCACCTATCAGAAGAACTGCTTCTATTTTTAAACAACCTGTAACTAAGATCACAAATCATGCAAATACTGAAAATCTTAGTGATTATAAAATAAATACAAAATCTATCAAAGATAAACCAAAACAAGTTTAAAATTATAAATCTTTGATCTTCTAAATATTTTTATTCATTTTAATTTAGTTATTGTGGATTAAAAGAACACAAGGGACTTTTAACTCTATTATACACAAGAATGGTGAGCCATATAAGATACCACCATCATCTTATCACATATCAAATAAAATAAAAGGTAAAATATAAAAAGTTCTTATATAAATGCATTTTATGCATTATTTTTTTATCCAATAAGTATACAATAATAGGTATTTAGTTTGATTCTTCTACAACTAGACATACCAATATCCAAGAAGTCAAATTTTATGCCTTGTAACCAGAGTTTTTTTTTTAAAAGAAGAGAGATTATTGATAAAATATTATTTTAAAATTCATATATATTATATACACTATATTATTTTCATAGATATATTTGATTGAAATAAGCAAAAATTTATTACTTTACTGATATATTTATTAGATACCTACACAGGTCAAAATTTTAGGCCTGGCCTAGCATTAAAAAAAAATTATTTTAAAGGTTGGTCTATTTTGGAAATTTTTTTCTGCTTGATCTTTGCCTGGCTCAGAAATGTTAAAATATTGTTATTTTTTATAATTTTGTAAATTATTATATTAGTAATTAAAGAGAAATTGAAAACATGAGCAATGCATAAATATTAAATGCTTTATTTTATGATTTTCTAACTATTTGATTGCTATAATGCTTACCTCGATTTTAATTTTTATTAAATTTTTGAGATACACCCCAATTTTTAAATTCATACTATTTTTCAACTAAAGTCTTGTGGATACAACACCCTGTAGGTGTATATAGTTGGACAGCTATACTAAAGGGTATAGACCTATCATAAATATATGTTTAGTAGAGATCTGCAAAAGTAGGCCCAGCCCCAGTGGGCTTTGGACTGGGCCTATTTTTTTTTAAAATGGGTTTTAATATTTAAAAAAAAATTTGGGCCAGATCAGGTTGGGCCTTGGAAATTTTTTTAAAAATATCTTAACTCATTTATTATGAATTTTTTATGTAAAATAAAAATATTTAATTTTATTTATAGAAACTAGACACCATATAACATATATTTTTTATTTTGAGTAATTATAAAAATCAGAGTTGTTAAAGGATAGAATCAAAAGATCACCTACCCTGGATTCGATCCTAAATTTGTCAATCGGATTTAAGATCCTGACCTTAAATTGTGGATCGTGATCGAATCATTTTTTAAAATATTCGATCCTGATCCTTTTAAAAATTATTTTTTTTACTTAAAAAGCAAAATATAAAATAAAAATTTTGAAAATTATTATTTTTTTTACTTAAAAAGCAATATATAAAATAAAAATTTTGAAAATTAAATTTAAATATTATTTTAAAAAAAATATCTATCACATCATATTTTATCAACCACCATTCCACCAGATTTTATATTTCAACAATTTCCCAAATTTTTTGTAAGAATAAGTTATATTTATTTATTAATTATATTATAATATAAATTCTAGGTTTCAATAATGTCCTCCATTATAGATTTAGAAGATGATACATCTACTTCTATTGATGTGACAGCAGATATAAGTGAGAATGAGAATCTTTTACCATTTCATAATTTACGTAAGTATTTTACTTTATGTGAAATAGATGGAAATAACCATACAATGTTCTATGCAAAATGCTCTTTATGCAAAAACAAAATATCTTCTTCAAAGATTAGCAGTTCAAACCTAAAGAGTCATTTAGAAGTAATTAATTCTTTTAAAAATACAATATTTATTATTTGTGAAGATCATAACAATATGCATATAATAAAAATTATAGATTTCCTTCACTATATGATGACAGTATTGGCATCAATAATTCACCCAAAATTTAAGCTCAATTGGGTTTTTATTAATCTGCCACAAATTTGTTGCTAAAAGAAAGGTTAATTGCCCATTTAGAAAATATACAGGGTCAACCATATGCAGATCCTTCAAATGAATGCATGGATCGATACCTTTTTTGGGAAAAACTCGTCACAAAATGCTCTTTCCATTATTTTTTTTATTCTAATGATGATTCAGTGAATATTTAATAATTATGTTAATTAAAAAAACATTTATTGAATTTAACACACATTTACCATCAAGCGCTCCTGTGTTTAATAAAGCTAAACATGTACTTAATGAAAAACGTGGTTGTTTAAATGATGATAATTTAGAAAAAATTTTATTATTAAAGGCTAATTTAATTATAAATAAATATATTCTAATGGTTATAATTATATTATACTATAACAATAAATTTATAACATATTTATTTATTTTCTATATTAGTTAATTTTGCATTGATCAGAAATTTAAATAAGAAAAGGTCGATCCTGGATTTCGATCCTCTTTTTTTCAAAAGATCGTGATCGGGATTCGATCTTTTTAAAAGGATCGACTAACAAGCCAGATAAAAATTAATTTCAGAGTTGTTAAGGAGCGACGCTATAGCAGTGGCCCTACATTTTTTTAAAAACATTGAGGAGTGGGAGCTGGATCATTTGACCAAATTTGACCGGTCATTTATTGTCTAATTCAAATAAATGTTTCTAAAGTTTTCATAATATTAATTTTATAATATTTTTAAATTCATTGTCATTCAATAACTAATGTTTCTTTATGGCGAGACTTGTTCTGTTCAGGGGCCCACAGTGAACTGTAACAAACCGTTAAACCATTATAAACCGTTATAAATATCTGAACCGTAACCAAACAGATATAATTATTTTTTTATAGTAGTAAAAAGAACCTTTATAAAAAAAGATTAAACTGTTTCAGTTTTTATATTTTAGAAATCGAAAAAATTTGAATATCCAGGATTATAAACTTGCTCTTATAGTAATGGAGATCCCGCAACAAGTTTCTGTAGAAAGAGCCTTTTCGGGGCAAAAATTTGTGTTATCGTCCCAACGAACAAATATGAATCCATTTACATTAGAGAATATGTTACTTATACGTTCAATTATATTTAAAAATGAGTTATTTTGAAACGAGATGCTTATAATAAAAATAAATTAGACGATGGTGTTCTTCAATAAAAATAAACTTCTAACCGTAATGAATTATTATAAACCTTTACAATTAGCTGAACCGAACCGAACCTTTATAAATTTTTCTTAAGAACCGTAACCAAAACATAACCATTATAATTTTTTACATACTGAACCGTAGCCAATTTGAACTAGGGGTGTACCTATATCACCTTTTGGAGGTCGATCGGATCCAATATTCGATATTAAATTGATATCGAATATTACCGATCCGATATCATATCTAATTTTGTATTTTGTAAAGATACCAATGGTTTTAATTTTTAATATACTTTTTATTAGTATAACATCCTATAATATAGCTATACCATAACTTATGTCATTTAAATATATTATAATAATCAGTTATAGTTTATATTCAATTCAATTGCAATTCTAAAAGTATATAAAATATTTTTATTGTTAAATCACTTTTATATAAGTAATAACAATAATCTATATATAATAAGTAATAAACAATTATATTATAAAATTTGAAATTTTAAAATAATATTTAACATTAATATATCGAAGATTTCTTTTTAGAAATACCAATATTTCCAATTTATCAGAGGTCAGCCTGCGGCGATGGTAACTATCAATATCACCAGCTTCACTAAAAACAGATTCTGAAGAGATTATCGCACACTTTTATAAACAGAATGCGCAAAAAAAATATACATAAAATGGATTTCGATTTTATATAAAAAGAAATGATTTTAGATATAACTTTTTTTTTAAATTTTATAACATTTTATTTTTGTTAAAGACGCCATTTTATATCGGATCGGAAATTTTGAACCGGTATAAATAACGGTTCGGGTCCCTGGTTCTGATTCATATTCAATATTATCATTTTCTTAATAGATCTTTAATCGATTTCTGTCTATGAATATTAACCCAAATCGATCAATCTTTCTGAAGAGAAGTAGAACTAAGAATTGTTTGTAAAATTTCTATCTTAATGGGCATGGTGGGTAAAGCTCATTCTACTAACCTATGGCCGGAGTCTGATTGCTTCTTATGAAGGTTATTGCTTTTCATACAATTTGCTATTAAACATGCCGCTTTTACTTCTGAAATTTATGCTATCATTTGAAATATTTTCACCACCTTGTAAAATATCTAATTCTTGTATTATACCAAATGCTTCATTAACTAGTGAGATACTTCCCTTTATATTGGGGACCCAATAAATAAGCAGCATTGTGATCACATGTATTTATATCGTTTTTTTCTTTTTTAAATCATATTTTTTTTAATACCTTAAGTTTTTAGTATATTGGACTTGGTCAAATACTCCTCCGAATAATTGAATTTGACCGGTCAATTGACCGACTTGCCAACCCTGGCCATAATGATTAAATTATGTTTATTATTAATATATTTATAGCGAAAAGTTATTCAAATTAGAAAATCGAAATTAATGTATAAATACCGCGAAAAGCTAAACAATTTGTAATTTTTTCTTATTTAATAATTCTTATATTTGGAAATTTATTAATAAAATCTATTATAACTTAATTCTCTTATTTTGATTGAGTTCGACAACAATTGACTTAATTCAAAAATGACACCCGGATAGACTTTTCCCATTCTCTAACGTTAAAAGTGTGGTTAACGAGCCTAATGACCTATTATAGTTATAGCCGGAAACCAATCAATATTACGAAAAACAATACCAAAGAAAAATAATTATAAAAATCACTCCTAGTATTTAAGGCAATATAAAATAAAGTATACATGTAATTAAAAATATTTTTCTATAAATTATAATGGAAATGTAATTGTCGAATACATGTATTGAAAATAAAAAGTTAATTATAATTTAAAAAAAACCGTTAATTTGAATATAAAATTTGTAAAGATAATTGAAATGTTGTAAGCAAATTAAATGACAATTATCTAAAATAATTATTGATGGTATGCAATTTTAGTAGTATAACTAGTAAAATCGAAAATGTAATAATAGAAGAAAGCAAAACTTTTATAATTTTTTAATTTGATTTTATATTTTTACGTTTTGTTTATTTATGTTATTTTAAAATGATTTGATTAACTATATATTTTAATAAATTAATTTGGCATCTTCAATTCTGGTTCATAATAATCATTACTTGTTTAAACAGTATTATATGAAGATTTTTCTGCCACTTTCTCATAAATCAATGTAGTAAAAACTCAATTTTTTTATTTGATCATGTCCCTTCTTAAAAAAGGTGTTTTCTAAATATATAAATTATTTTAGGTGTTCAAAAACTAAATTTAAGCGTGCCGAGCATTCGTTTTTACCTACTAGCGACTTAAATGATTTTCTTTAATCAAGATTTTTTATATTATACAAAAGCCATATTACCTTCCATTCAAACTTCTTTCAAGGATGAAATAGGTAGCCAAGATTCTTCTTTATTTCGAGATATATCTTCTCATCTTCACATGAACACTTGGAAATTTTTACCAGTGGTAGGCCAAAGGAAAATATATCAGCACGTTATGACCAAAAAAAAACATGAATTAAATATCGATGGAAATATGAATGGTTATGAAACAATTAAAGCAGACACTACTTTGGCATGTCTCTCTTTTGTCGACTCAAATCAGCCACTTATCGAAGTTTATTTAATATTTGTTAATTTGATTAAGAAAAAAATATATATTCAGCTAAAACGTAAATTTTTTAACTATAAATTTAAAAACAAGGTAAAATTTAGATACTTAAGAAAAACTCTAATTGGGTTTGTAAGAAGGAACATATTAAAAAATTTTATTTGAATTTTTTTGGGTTCCAGCTTGAAATTTGATTTTGTAAGCTAATGTTTCTAAGTTGAGAGTAATAGTGGAGTTTATTGTTGAACATTAGTTTGCTAAGGTAGGCTAGTTGTTATAAGTATTGCACAGATACTCACGCTAGTCATTAGTATCGTATTGGCCTATACTTTAAATATTAAACATCAATGTTTATATATGATAATTAACCTCATAAAAAAATTAGATATTTAGTCAACATTATGCCACTGTTTAGCCCAGGCTTATCAGATTTTGAACTAGGGCACCCTATTTAAAAGAAAGAAAAACTTATACATTAAATTAGGGTTGTGCCGATATTGAAAATCCCGATCCGATATTTTTAATTGTTTTTATTTTATGATTTATATTTAGGCTTGTTAAAAAGCTAGTTTCGCGTAGATTTTAGCCAAAAAAATATTTTGTAGATCTCGAGATTTTAGCAAAATCTTAAGGTTTACATAAATTTATTATTGCTAAAATCTTAATATCAGGCTTTTTAACAATCTAGCAATCTAATCATTTTTAAATTGTTAGGTTATTAGACAAAATTAAAAAAAGATTAATTATATCTAAATTAGATTACTTTATTATTTAATTATTATTATATGGTTGCTTTTATAATCCACCATCCTGAAAATCAACATTATAATATTTTAAATCATGATAAAATTTCAAGCTAGATCTAACCCGTTTAATAAAATTATGTTTTCAGAAATAAAAATAAATGATAGTGGTTAGCTGGAGCATTTAATTCATAAACAATCAAAGCTTCAGTAGAGTATTTTCATCATATGGAGTGTATTCCAAATTTAGGAATCGTTAGGAAAACTAGTTATCTTAGCAATTAAATTCAAATACCAATATCAAGTACATATTAAAAGTTGCAATGCACAATGAAAGTTAAAACACTAAAATCCATCTTTTAATTTTAACAACTAGATTTTGGAATAATCATGATGATTCTCTTAAAACAAATAGAATATTATTTTTTAAATTATATTATTGCAATTATGATAAAATTATTTTTATGGTAAATGCTAAATATAGTAAAATAAATTTTATAAGTCTTATTTTTCTAGACTGCAACCCCTGACCCCCAGGATTCAGAGACATTTTACTGAACCAGAATCCTTTTTAGAAAGAGGGCTCACAACCTTGAATTTAACAAACTACTTTGATTTAATTCAAATAGATTTTTATTAGCTAACCCTATTGTGATACCAAAAATAAGAATGTTTATGTAGTATATATATTATGCAATACTCTTGAAAAGTAACTAGTCACCATTCTAGTTACATTACATGTTACTTTATAGGGCCAATAATTTTTCTTAATATAATATTTCATTATTTAAAATAAAAATAAATTAAATGAAAACACAATTTAAATAAAGAAATAATTGAGCTGTGTAAAAATATACCAAATAAATGTTATATTATAGTATTTATTTTTCATAAAAATTTGAGCTTAATAAATTTTATTTTGATGTGTTTAAAGGTATGCTAGTTTTTCTTCCAAAATAAGCTTTCCTACACTAATATTTAATAAACAGTAATTTTAATTTGGGAAAATCATCATAAAAACATAATATAATATTATTTAACATATAAAAAAAGTAGTAACTATTTACAATTATTTTTCATAAAAATATAACTAGTTACTTAATAACATTAATCAATATTGTCATTTTAGATATTTTGCATTTATAATTAACTTATGAAATATAAAATTAAAAGAAATAGGAAATAAAGGTTAGGCCACTTATTTCTAAACATTCGTCTGTTAAACAGCCTAAGAAGGAGGATATTTAGATTTATAGCATATGGCTGTGCTCTGGTTCGACATAATCTTGATACTTAATGCTGTTTAACATTGACAGAACTTTTAGGCTAGGACACCATATTTTGATTTTTTTATAGTATTTAGTGGCATTATTATTTATTGTATTTTTTTAGTTTTGTTCTTTTCGTTTTTTTATCTTTTTTAGGCATTTAATCGTAGCTATATTGCTGGCTGTTAAGTAATGTCAAACCAGGACACGGCCTATTTGCTTTATTTGTACCGAAAAAAATATATAACAAATAATATTTATTTAATGGAAGACTGTGCCAATCCACAAATTTTTCACCAATCCGATCCGATTTTTTCCGATATTACTAAAAAACCGATCCGATATTTATATTGATTTTTATTAACCATCTATCTTGAACCAATGTTATAAAAATATCAGTATTTTCTTTAAAAAAATTTTCACGAATGATATAATATATTTTGTTAATTCTATTCTCCAAAAGTTAATAATATCATTAAAAATATTTTGTTTATGGATGAATGTGTAGTGTTGTATAACACCTCCATTTGGCTGATTTTTATAAAGGCTACATCAAGATTTTGGCCAAAATAATATTACCTAAGCCTCGAAATTTCGCCAATAGAAGTCCTAACCTTTCTGCCATATTGTGGGCAAAATAAATAAACTTGAGTAATTTACTTTTGGACAAAATTTTGAGTTAACCGTTTTTAAAGATTGTGTAAATCGAGCCGACAACACAGGCCGAATATAACTTGTTAGATATTTTAAAATCCTTTTCTTATGGCAGATAATGTAACAAAAATAGTTTAATTTATATTTTTTTTATAAATAATTTCATAATAATAAATTAATAAAAGGAACAATCTTTTTTTTAACTTAAACTGATATATGACATATTTTATTATATTCTCTATATTATAATGTTAATTTTTAAATAATAATATTTTATCATATTTGCATATGAATTTTAATAAAAAATTGAATTTTAAAAAATATACTCACAAGGAAATGAAATTTTTTTTAAAAAAAAATTAAGTTTTATGTTGGAAAATTGTTATTCAAATATTTGCAAAATTTTGACTGGGAGGAAGGGGGGTGATAAAAATTTTATTAGCTTTAAATGATATTTATGAAAACAGTCAAATTTGCTATGGGGGGGGGGGTGGTTGGTTTCGCTCCTGATGCATGGGGATTGGATAATTCTGATAATATAATAAATAATGCTTTAAAAACTCAATATATTTTTTCATTATTATGATAATATAGCCTTATGAAGCTTTAGATGAGGATATTAAAAAACAAGAATGCAAAGTACTTTATTTGAGAAAAAGATTGACAAAATTGATCCAAAAATTAGAAGTCCTATCTCATTAATACCTAAGATTATTATTAAATTAATTTTCGATTATGTAAATATACTATAAAAACTATCTATTTTATAATTTACACATTATTTTTTTTATAACCTAACAAGTAAATTATATTAATGTAAATATGTTTCCAATAGATAAATAAATACACATTATTTGTATTGTTATCATAGTTATAAGCCCCGAATTTAAGGTAAATTATAATTAAATAGCATTAATTAATTGAATTATTGCAAATACAACAATATTTTTTAAATTTTGGTGCAGTATGCATAACATCCAGTATGTCTAAAATGGTTCCAACAGGAAATATTGATAAATAGGAGGGATTAATTTATTTATTGGTTGTTTATGATTTATTCTGTCTTCTTTTTTATCATCATTATGTAATTGTTGTTGCGAAATATCATAATTCGGATTAATATGGGATTATTACTCATTTTTAAATGTATTTTTGAATAGCAATTAAGTTTAACTAGTGTTTTCATTTTTGAAATTTTTGCAAAACAGCTGTTATGATTAAAATTTGATTTGCCTAACTATAATCGTAGTCACTTGATTGTAAATTCGTCCACTTTTCTGATTGGTCCATTTAATAGTTGTAAATTAAAATTATATCTTAATTGTTTAAAAATATTACTTGGAATTATTCTGATATATTAATTAAATGCATAAATAGAATAAATTCCTGCATAAAAATCCGTATTAATAATGATGTCGCCCGTTTTGACCAAAATGGACAAAAATACTATCAAAGGAGGCCCTCACTAAAATTTTTATTTTACTAAATATATATGAATAGATATTAACTATTTAGAGGATGTTAATTCATACATATAAATCTATCAGTTTTAAAACTTATAATATAAATTAAGTAATTCATAACTAATTCAATTCATCGTGACGATGTATTTTTATTTAGATTCCGTGTACTTATATAGTTTATGTAAAATATGAATGTTTATTATTTATCTATATTTTTTCAAAGTCGTAATTTGGACGTTTTACTTGAAGAAAATAGGCTAAAACGCTTATTTGGGGTAATATTTTTAACATTTGCGGGTTGCATTATAGGCGTTTTAGCTTGTGTTATTTGATTATCATAACGAATGTTCTTAATAATTTTAGAATCTTTTATTTCAATTTCGGTGTTCTCTTTAATTGCGAGATCTTGGATTTTGTCATTATTTGTGCTCGTCAATCTGAGTCTTTGAAAAGTATAATTAAAATTTTAGATCATAAAATTGAAACTAAAGGATAAAAAATATTTTAAAAAAATATAAAAGTGGTAGCCATCTAAATCAAAAAACCACTATACCGTTGCTATATTATTAATTACCCATTGTGCAAATTTAATGTTATTTACGTTTTATTAGCAGGCGGGAGTGGAGGGGGAATGGGGGGCATCGAAGGTATTTTATCGTTCATATGATCTTTCTTGAGTAAATTAAGTTTTTTTGAATTATCCATCATATGACCCATTTTCTTATATTTAGCTATATTTTTATGTAATTCAAAATTAAATTATTTATATAAAATTAACACATTCTTAGATTCTACCACTCACAATTATTGAATCACTGACAAAAATGTCCTGGACAAAAAGACTCGTAATAATACACCCCATGAATAGGAAGACATCGACAAAAATATTTTAATTTGATCAAATGCTTAAAAATGGCGTAATTTTAAAATGTTACCCTTTAAATCTTTTTGAAAATTGAAGTGCTTTTTTACACTTTTTTTGGTCCGAGATACTTTTATCCAGGACATTTCTATTCGTCCCCAAATATCTGTTCAATTTTGTCTAATTTAATTTAATATACGATTAAATATTTTTAAAAATTAGCCTTCAGAAATTTTATTGTAGATATGAAATGCTAGCATACATATATTATTACTTTTATCGTATATTGGCTCTGGGGTTTGAGCAATATCATCATTAATTATAACTTCTCTTTTCTTGAGTTTAAACTTCAATTCGCTAAACAAAGTTGCCCTCTTATCTAATTCTTGGTGAGCCATTTTACTGTTAGATAAATCATCATTTCCATCCACCTCGGCCATTTCCCTTGACTTATTGCTTTTACCATAAATTTGTTTCCCATTTATATTATTCTTTCCTTCTTCCATTGTCTCTTCACTACTTTTATTATCAAAAGAAGTCGCATTTTTATTGGTAGGGGACATTGCTAAGCTTGAGGCATTGTTAGCTACTAACAAAAGGTGTTGCTGTTTGTGGATATTTTCTAGACTTTTATTTTTAAAAGATGTGCGTGCGTCTATATTCAACTGACCATTACATCTAAGTATTTTTAATTCATGTCCAACAGGTGAAATATGATTTTTATCATTGACTATCATTTGTTTAATATGTTTATTATTGTAAGGAGTTTCATAAATTATATTAGGTAAAGTTGGTTGGGAGGTCTTTATAAAGTTTGTGGTCTCTATGGATATTTGAGGAGTAGATAGTTGTTTCTTTAGATTATTTTGCTATATATATATATTTCATGATAAAAAAGCTATTTTTGAATGATAACGATAAAAAATTATATTTTTAAAGAAATCTAATAAGTAAAAAAGGACGAGGGAAATATTTTTCACATATTTAAACTATAATAGTACTTATCAGATAAATTTTTATTTAATATAATTGGAAAGTTTCTTAATGAACATAGGAATTTTAAATCTTGTCACTTGAATCATCTTATGATTGATTTTATTATTCAATAAATCGTATTCAGATAAACTCAAAGTATGACCAGCCATGTTGTAGAGTCCTTCTCCCGTTTCCTTATAAAGCTCTGACGTTCTTAAATCTAATAAATATTTAGATATAAATAAAAAATCTACATTATACCCTATTTACCTCTAAAGTTATTTCTTAAGTGCATTTGATATGACATAGGTGCTAGATAATTACCGGAATTTTGAAATAGTTGAGGTGCCTGTAAAATGGATTGAATTAATTTAAATTTGAAGACAAAATTTTTCTAACTTATATTTGATTGGTTAATGATTGAAAATATGATATCATATATTTAAAATATTGTGAAGTGTGACAAGTTTTCCCATTTTTTATATTGTTTTTATTATAATAAAAAAGTAACACGATTTTAATTTAAAAAAAATATATTTTCCTCATAAATTTCAAATTAATAAAAAAAAATTAATTATCCAGATTTAAGCCTTATATTTTTATGACATGCTTGAATTTATATATAAAAAATGTTTTAAGGATATTTTTCGCATTAATTATAGATTATAATTGCTAACTAGTTTGTATTTGAAATGAAAAGAAACAACGTGATCCAGAATATTCAAAATAAGGTTATTTTCGATTTCACGGTTATAAATTTAATTTATATACCTTACATTAACTTTTTGAGAATGTCAGAATTAAATTTTTGCATTAATAAGTTTCAAATTTTTAATTTTATGGAATTTGAAGAACTTCTTAGCCTTAAATGATATTGATGATTTCAGGACAATTAATCTTTATAAGTTATTTTTGAGTTCACAGTTTCTTAAATTTAAGTAAATGACTTTTTGAAATCACTCCCAATTAATTTTTTTTATCAATTTATAAATTTTTAATTTTCCCTGGTTTATTTTATGGAATTAGAAGAGCTTCAAATCATAGCCTCGATAATTTTGATAATATATATTTTAATTCTAATAGTGTTATCACTATTTTAATTAATGATAGTATTCGTGTTAATAAGGATGATTTTTAAAAAAAATTCAGAAAAAAGGTAAATTCAATTACTAAATTACATTGAAAATATTTCTTCAAAATCTCGAAATTGGATTTCAAAAAACAAGAAGGTCGGAAGACTTGTTTCCATGAGAGCGAATACGTTATATGTAGAAAGCTCTAGAATTGAATTATTTTTTGATGTTCAAGATCTGATTTTTTATGGAGACTTAAAAAAAATTTAATATTGCATGATAGATTTCTTTTAAAATGAAGTTTCCGAAATCTTTATTTTACCTTTGTTTTTCGTTTTTTTATTTTATTTCCCTGTAAATTTTCCCTGAGTATAGTTTCCTGATAAATATAGAAAAAAAATCCCATTTTAAGATATTAAAAATAACAAAATTTATAAAATAGAAGAAGAAATTCCCTATAAATATATCCACGAAATAAAAATCCTCAAATAAAATGTTTAAAATTTTAAGAAAATCAATATCGGGGAATTATTTTCTAAGAATTATTAATGGGGATTTTTTTTCCAGAGAATTATTTTCCGCTTACCGTGTGATATGACTATATACATCTATTTTTTAATTTTTTTTTAATAACAATCACAAAGTCGTCACCTTTATAATGACTTCAAAATGCTCATTAAATCGGCTAGATGCCCAACTTTTCCAAGTCTCACCTTGTAAAGTAATATAAATTGCGTGAATCTTTAGCCTTCAATTAAAAATTGACCTATATTTAAGCTGTGAATATTGTAAGGAGATTAGTGCTAAACTATGACCGACTGGAATAGCCATACTGCATAAATAATTTTAATTTGGTTGAAATAAAAATTTGGGAATATATAAGCCTATTCTCCTAAAATATAGAGGTAGCCAATATATGATCTGATTGATTTTAACGAAGAGGAATTCTACGTTTAATTTTTCAATTTCAACGAAGAAATTTGATCCTAAAAATGGATATAGCTGGAATTGAACCACTATCTGATATATACCAGGCGGACGCTGATGACTATATAAAAATGGGTTTAGACTTGCACATATTAAATTTTTCAACCATTTATGGTTTAATGAAAATCAATATTTCGTTATGCACAATATTTTTATTTAGAGAACCATATTGTATTAACAAACTCTAGGATCAAAGACTTATTAATATTCAATAGGGTAGGGGAAACCGGGGTAAAACGATTGACGGACGGGGTAACAGTGTTAGCGAGAATGAATTTTTAACCCTTGAGCATAAAGACCTTCATTTTGATGTGAAGAGGTATTCTTATATCTATTATTACCTAAGTTCATCTTTTGAAAAAGTTGACATATTTTCCAAAAAACATTTTTACACAAAAAGTGATAAAAATTACCTTTTAGTTTAATTTGTTTTTAGCAAAATATATTAAGGCTCATAATTTAAAATTTTACATGCATGTTTAAAGTTTAGCCTATAAAATAAAATTTATCGGAGGTTTATAGTATAACTAGATCTGTACGCATGTCTCAATCGACGGTGGCGTTATTTTTTAATTTTTTCATCGGCGTTCGGCGGTGCGATATTTATTTAAAATATTTTAATTTATAAATCAAAGTATTACATTTTTTATAATTTATTTGGGCGCTCTTTTCTAACACATTGTTAACATCGTTTAATTGATTTCTTAAATTATTTCCTGTCTCACTCCAATTTAAATTTATGTATTTTCTCATTCTCAGAAATAGACTATGGAATTGCATTTTTACTCAGATCAGAGTCACATGAACAACACATATTATTAATATTCTATTGATTTTTATTATAACAAATTAAAATATAAATTTGGAGTGCAAGCAAAATATAAAGTATGAAATATAATAAATCAGAATTCTGATTCAGCAAAATTATAATTGTCATGAATAAATAGTAATTAAGATTCATGGGACATAAAGAAGTCCTTTTTACATTGAGTATTAAACCAGCAATGGAAAAAAATCTTTCGCTGGGTATACTGGTTACAGGTATACAAAGAACCTTTATAGCTAAATTAGCAAGACTAGAAAGTTCCCGTTGCTTTTTCTTCCAAAAGATTAATGTGTATCCTCTTCTGGGATATTATGTTGGCTGAACAAAATATGACGTAAGGGAATGTTTACGAGCTATTTTAGCTGTATAAGAACTGGATGCTTGCCCATTATCTTCAACTTGAATCTCATTCTGTGCATTTCTAACATGCTCTAAACGTTTTAACTGTATAATTAAAAATTGCAATGATGTCATAAAATTCGAATTTAAATATTCTGAAACAATTTTAAGATTTTGAAATCTGGGATCAAATAGAGTCGCTAATATCTAATATTTTAATTATAATTTTATTAATAAAAATATAAAATAATTTGAAGCTCAGTAATGAGAAACCTATGGTCAAGATTTTTTTTCATATTTTCTTTTAAGCAACTATTGCTTTGTAGAGTTTCTATTACACTGCTAAATAATAACCCTAAGTTTATTGTCTATCGCTTTTGGGAGGAAAGAAATTGCACCGACTCTCGAGAATTCAATACCACTTAAAGCTCGTCAATCATATCTCATTCATTATTAAAGAGTTTTAAAGATTGTTTCCCTATTTTATTTAGAACATTATAGAAATTTTGTTTACACTGTGTACACTTTCTAGCATAATTAATATGCTTGTCCAGCGGGTAGGGCAATTTAATTTTAAAGTTTTTTATTAATTAGATTAGTTGATGCCATTTCTATTATCTGATTCATGAGACATATCAAAATGGTCATCAAGGTATGCATCAGAATTATCTATATCCAAGATATTACCTGTCTCATAAATTGAATGCAGACATTTACGATGTTCAGCCTCAATTTCACATTCCAAATCTACTCGATATCTAAGGGCTGAAATAATTTCTCTAATTTTTTAATGAGAATATCGATAAAATAGATTATGTTTATCCGAATCTTCCTCATCTTTTTTACCCAATTTTAAGCAAGGTTCACAATAAATATAATCAGGCATTATTGTGCTTTTCTTATTTTCATTCTTCAAAATAAGATTTCCAAAGTACTTACAGGCATAAATTGATTTAAGATTAGTAGAGAGAGTTGTTATTTCTTTGTATATTGGGTGGTTTAAAACGTGCAAGTCCATAAAAATAATTAATATGTATTGTTTGTGTAAATGAATTATGATGTAGGAATGAATGTAAATGATATACATTATTCTATTATATATAGCAGAATATAATTCTTAATTTTATTAATGTTAATATTCAAATTTAAATAATAATTTAATATATAAATACAATTAAACAGCATTCTAAAAATTATACACGCCGCTGCCATAAAAAAAATTGGCGGCGAGCTGGCTAACGCTGATATCAATCTGCGGCTGTTTCGGCTTGAATAAAATTGCCGGCGGCGCACAGGTCTAAGTATAACTAAAAGTCACGCAATAACAATTTGTGTAATATATATATATCGTCTTAAGGAAGTTGTTATGGGTAAAACGTTTAACATGTTCCGGATTAAAGCTGTAAAATCATTTTAAATACGGCGTTAGCATTGAATTTAGTTTTAGTTTTATTTTTACTTTTTATTATTTTGGGATACACAATATAAAAGATATTTTTGGGAAAAAAGGAACATTTATAAATAGTAGTATTGTACAGTAACGTCATTACTTTTTTTGAGGAACGCTATTTGTAACCTCCTTCTAGAGGTAACGAGTAACGCATTTCTTTTTTTTGAGTAGGTAACGCAAAACGTTACTTCAAATTTTTCTTATATGGAAAAAACTTATTTTATCGTATTGTAAAATTACTTTTATTTATTTTTTAAAAACCGAGTTTTCAATTTACATCAACCACCAAATTCCTTCATTTTTTTTAAATTTTCAATCAGGATTGTTAATCTATTCAATATTGAATCAATGAATGTATATAAATTTATATTCTTATTAGTTATTTTATAACGAATAAATACTATGTCATTTGTATATTTTCTTCATATAAAGATGAGTAAAGCCTGCCTTGGCTTTAATATGAAACATTTTTTACACCATTGAAGAAAACTGAGAGTACAAAGTTTACACTTTATAAGTGTAAAATGTGTTCCATCTCGAATATTTTAACCTCAATTGAATAAACATGGGCATCCTCCAAACTGTGCAGCCATTTTTAAGGGAAAAGGGATATCTGATTAAACTGTTTTTGGCAAGATGGAACTTTTTCTATAACTCCGTGAAATTAATATAGTCTTATTAAAAAGAATGACCACAATTTGAAGAATCTTATGATAAATCCAAATTACATAGATTTTTAGATAATGACAAATCGTTCATAAATAAATATTGTATGACTATATATATTATTTTATAGGATTTTAGAGAGAGAAGAAAAATATGCATTTGGAAAATCTCACTCCCACGATAACTTTATATTATTTAAAAAATGGCTTTAAATAATTTCATTTTGTAAGCCACTTATTAATGCAACTCTGCAAGACAAAGATAAAAGGTATACAGTTGAAGTGTTGTTCACAATTCATATTTTGATAGGATTTAATTTCAATTGAATATATATTATCAGCAATAATTCACCCGCTATTATCAGATTGGTCCTTGTAAAACTAGATGTCTGGGAAGAAGGAAGCTTGAACTTATTTCCTATTTGAGAAAGGTTCTTGATAAAAAAAAGGTAGACTTGTTTCCTTTAAAAAACAACACTTACAGATTATTTTCTAATAAAGATAATTAAAATAAATTGAATGAGGATCTAAATGAAGATTCTTTTGATGATGAACTAAGCATTTTTCAAAATAAAAATTAATCTTTAATTTTTAATAAATTTCCCCAATTAAAATTTTTATTAATCCAATATAATACAACCCTCACATCCTCTGAACCAGTTGAGCGTATGTTTACCACAGTGAATGTTGTGTTGTGCGCCAAGCACTCTTGTTTATCTGATCAAAATTTTAAAAATCAATTGTTAAAATAAATAAAAAATTAATACAAAAATATTTTATAATAGCACTATTAAAAGGGATGAATATCAAAATAATAAAACAGAAAAGTTAAGTTCAATTTTATTTTAAGCACTTTGCACGATGCTTAGCTATTTTACGTATTGGGTGAAAGGGCAAAAATGGCACACTTCACATAATTATTCATAGCTCCGAAATTATTACAGGTAAAGAGCTATAGTATTTATTTATTTTGTAGATGAGAGATTTCGCTACATATAAATTTATAATTTGTTCTGTTTTGTTTCAATATTTTATGCTAAGAATACAAAATACCAATCGTTTATCCCGTCCTCTCCTATTTATGTTTTTTTAAATTGTCATTAGCACCAATCAATTACCATAGAATATATTATTTCATTAATTTGCTTTGTCATTTAAAAGCGTATTAGAAAAATATTTAAAATATTAAACTTGATATATTAAAGGTCTTAGTGGTGCTATATTTTTGGGAAGTTCTATCGTAACCGTAAAACTTATAGGAAACCATCCAGTGCTAAAATTTTATTTTAATAAAATAAATGAACTTGTTAGGCATTGATAAAAATAGGTTGATGTTATAAAATAATAAATCATTAACTCGGTGTAATTATAAACTAATAAAATCTAATTTATAACTAATTTTTAATTATAAAAAATATGCAGACTATTATAACTTAATGCATTAACTCACCTTATTATATACCTCTGAGTTAAGATATCACTATGATTAATTCATTCCCCCAATGATAAATAGTGTTAAAGAAGGAGTTGATTAATACCAATATTTTAATTATAATATTAATTGATAGGGAGAGTTAAATCATGCAGTTTTTTATGTAATTCTTGTAAATGTAATATTAAATTTAAATTGAAATTAAATTTTAAATCGTATTTTAATTTTATTAATCTAGTTTTTAGAAGGTTGGTGCATTAGAGATCTGCAAAGTTAGGCCCGGCCGGTACCCGGCCCGATGGGGCTTCGGGCCGGGCTTAATTCTATTTAAAATAATCGGGTTCGGGCCAAGCCTAATATTTTTTAAAAAATTCGGGTCGGACCTTGGAATTTTTTTTAAATATATCTAATTTCTCAATTTTATATTGAATTTTTATGTAAAATCAAAAATTTATTGAAACTAAACGACATATAACATATGTCTTTTATTTTGAGTAATTATAAAAATTAATTTCTATATTTAAATAAATTCGTGCCGGGTCGGCAAAACTTTTTTTAAAAAAAATCGGGTCGGGCCGGGCCGGGCTTGAAAAATTAGGCCCGATGCAGATCACTAATCTGCATTTTAAAATTTCCAAAGTAAATTACTTATGAATATAATATAAATGTTATAAAATAGTACATTTGATACATATAATTGATTAAAAAAAACTTAATTTTTCACAAAATTTTTTTATTGTTCAATTTTAACCAGATGTATATGTGTCAACCTGTTTATACAATTATGTTATAAATAGGTTATACTATTTTAAAATTGTTCAGGTGTTTGAAAAATGGCCCAAAAAGCTAGCATTATTTCTCAAAAAGAATTGATGACTTTAAAAACATATACATCAGACAGTACCAATAAACTCAACTCTTTCAACTAATAGAATTTTTTATTTCGAACAAATTAGTTTTAACCTGCTTAAAACTTAAAAAAACACATTTCAATTATATATACGTTAGTATATATAATGATTTATCATTTAGATATTGGCAGCAAGGAATGCATGTTACTTATGTCAACGATCTAATTCTCGATTTGACAAAACAAGTTTGGAAATGCAGTCTATTCCTTCTAGGATATTGACACAAACAGGGGTAGATCTGTGTTCTTTTCCATAGTTCTATGATTGATTTAAATATATTGCAGTTGCTGTTCATTATTTTTCAAAATATATTAAAGCGCAATTTTTAAAGGATAAAACTGCCCATTCAGTGACCCTCCTTTTTATTCATTGTTATGCAGACATGGCAGAGCCAGTGTTGACGAAATTTTTATAATAACATAATGATATTTATAGATCTAAATTAATGATCAGGGATGCAAATTGTTAGCAAAGAATATCACAGGCTATTGGGAATTCAGCAGGGATTGGCAATTGCCTACCATCTCAGGCTAATGACATTGTAAAGAGAGCCAACCAAACTCTTCAAAATTCACATTTGAAATGTACAAAAGGCAATCAGAAAAATTTACCTGGAACATTACCTGGTATTGTATTTGTCTACAGTATATCAAGGCATGATTCTTCAAAATTCAGGTCATATGAGATGATGTATGGTAGGAAAGCTTTACTGCCCTGTGAAGTATGATAAATATCACTATTTGTAAAGAATTAATATTCATTTTTATTATTTAAGACTTGATGATCTATCAGACACAGAGTTTGAAAGTGATTACCAAATAATGGCTAACAATATGAAAGACATAAACAAGGTTGCAACAAAAAATATAGTAAAGGCTCAGCTTAAACAGCAACAAGATTATAAGACTCGTAATGCTGATAAGAATGCACTTTATCACATAAATATTAAAGTGCTTGTATGGAATAATTGTTGAGCTGACAGGAAAGGAGGGAAAATGTTGCAGCCTTGGGTAGCCCAATATACAATGGTTAATAGAAAATTATAATTCTTAACAAAATATTTATACATATTTAGGCAATGTAGAATTATCTTCCTCAGCAGGAAAATTTTTACATATCAATCTAATCGAAGTAATTTAAAACATTGTATAGAGGGGAGTGTTGTTAAACAACTGAGTTGAGTCGACTTAGTCGAAAACTGAGTCTAAGTTTTGGGTCGAAAAATCGACCCAAACTGACTTGAGTTATGAACGAGTCGTGAACTCAAGTCTTGAACTCAAATCGACTCAAGTCGTGATTTCAAATTAGTTTTTATTATTAATTAACAATACAATTATTTTTTTTAATTTAGACTTCCAACTTAAGTAAGTCGTGAATAGAAATTACAACGTGTAGATTTACAAATCAATCTCCTTACTTTCAAATTTAAATGGTTATATAATTAAAAAGTGTGCTCTCCTCCTCGCCTAATAAGATAAACGGGCGTAGGCTAAAAGTCACCTCGTTTTAACAAAAAAGTTCAAAAATAACGATTATGACAATTGTCACTTTTCTGTGGTATCTTCACTAAAATTTTAATTTAACATGTTTACAATATATATAGTTCAAAAATAACGATTATGACAATTCTCACTTTTCTATGGTACATCTTTGCTTAAATTTTAACTTAACATGTTTGCAATAAATATTTTTCCAATTTTCTTTGAAAAAATTCAAAAAAGTTCACAAATAACGATTATGACAATTGTCACTTTTCTATGGTACATCTTCACTGAAATTTTATTTTAACATCTCTACAATATATATTTTCACCTATTTGTTTTAAAAAAATTCAAAAAGTTTAAAAGATAACAATTATGACAATTGTCACTTTTCTATGGTACATCTTCACTGAAATTTTAATCTAACATGTTTACAATATATATTTTTACCCATTTGCTTCAAAAATAACTATTATGACAATTGTCACTTTCTATGGTACATCTTCGCTGAAATTTTAATTTAACATATTTACAATATATATTTTTACCTATTTACTTTAAAAAGTTCAAAAATAACGATTATGACAATTGTCACTTTCTATGGTACATCTTCACTGAAATTTTAATTTAACATATTTACAATATATATTTTTACCTACTTACTTTAAAAAAGTTCAAAAATAACAATTATGACAATTGTCACTTTTCTATGGTCTATCTTCACTGAAATTTTAATTTAACATTTTTACAATATATATTTTTACCGATTTACTTTAAAAAAATTCAAAAAAGTTCAATAATAACGATTGTGACAATTGTCACTTTCTATGGTACATCTTCACTGAAATTTTAATTTAACATATTTACAATATATATTTTTACCTATTTACTTTAAAAAAAATCAAAATAGTTCAAAAATAACGATTATGACAATTGTCACTTTCTATGGTACATCTTCACTGAAATTTTAATTTAACATGTTTACAATATATATTTTTACCCATTTGCTTAAAAAAATTCAAAAAACTTTAAAAATAACGATTATGACAATTGTCACAATGGTGCATCTTCACTGAATTTTTAATTAAACGTATTTACAGCCTATATTTTACTTATTTGCGTCAAAAAATTTCAAAAAACTTTAGAAATAACGATTATGACAATTGTCACTTATATAGGGGAAATCTTCACTGAAATTTTAATTTAACATATTTACAATCAATATTTTTACCCATTAGCATCAAAAATAAACTAATATGTTTTAAAATACAGATTATGATATTTGTCATTTTTACAAAGGAACATCATCATTGAATTTATAATTTAACATATTTATAATATAAATTATATTTTTACCCTTTTGTACCAAAAATTTCAAAAACTTTAAAATAATAACATGACAATTGTCACAAATATTATAAGACGATCATGTAAAATAACATAAAAATTTAATATAAATATTTATAAATTATTTAAACTAGTTCTTTTAATATACTAAAAAAAATAGATAATTTTACAAAAATGATAAAAATAAACCTATAAAAGATTTCAACTAAAAGATTAATATCACAAAAAAATTAATTAAAAAAGAAGATTTTAAATTCTTATCAATTCAAATTTTGCTTAAAATTTTTGCATGAAAACCAAAAATGAATTGTAACAAAAATAATATTATACAATACCTATTCGAAATATTCGTCCTCTAGTCGACTTAAGTTCACGACTCAAGTTAAAAACTCAAAGTTGACTTGAGTTCATGACTCGAGTTGTGGAGTTCACGATTCGAGTCAACTTGAGTTCATGACTCGAGTTGACTGGAGTACACGATTCGAGTCGACTTAAGTTCACAACTTGAGTTCACGACTTGAGTCGACTTGACTTCACGACTTAAGTCGACTTGAGTTCACGACTTCAGTGAGTCGACTAATTCGACTAACGACTCAGACTCTGAGTCAGAGGCGGGTGAACTCGACTTTTTAACAACACTAGGGGAACAAGGTATTATTTTTTAAATATACAAATGTAAATTTTTTAATGGTAAAGATATAGTTAAAACAAAAAAAAATGTACTTTGTGAAACTATAGAGGTTGTTTCAGATCATGGTAATATATACAGTTAATTTATATAATATTAAACAAATAATTAAGTTTGTAGGCTTCTTAAAACTATAGCTGAAGAAGGAGAAGGTAATCAAATGTGCATTTAGGAAAAAGGAAAATATATTTTTAATTATTATATTTCCATTAGAAGAAGCACTATTTGAAGAAATTACCTGTGGAATAAAAGTTGGTGGAGGAGAAAGTTTAATTTTTTTAAAATTGAAAAAAAATATTTTTGATAAAGTTGAAATCCTAGAGTTTTAGAGAGGAGGACACTAAAATAAACAGTGTCAAGAGAAAGGGCACAATATATAAAATTGTTTGATATATATTTTTTTGTATTTAGATGTATTTTGTGAAGATCCAACAAAAGCTATTAAATGTATAGTGAGAGAGGAAGGATATGTAGGCATACCAATTAGGGTAAAAATAATATTTTTTAAAGAATATAATATTATTTAATTTAAATGACGAAATTTTTATGGATGCAATAATACCAAAGAAAATTTGTGAACTTTTCCTTATCACAAGTAGGAACTGGAAGGTTTTTCATTCTTAATTATCTCACTCTTAATGGTTCGATTTCAAACCAAGTGGCCATTATCCCAAGATAAAAAGTGGTGTATTAAAGAGATCTTCACAATCGATCACATTGTGGGTGATGGAAACTGTTTTTTAGGTGTATCTTTATATAATATTTATTTTGTTTAACATGTTTATAGGTGTAAGTAAGGAGATATCAAATAGCCAGGATAATTATCTGAGGGAAAAGTGCGTTAGCGAATATTTCAAATTGGATATGGGAAAATTTATAGGATTCCCTGTAGAGGAATACCTAGTTAATAAAAATGTTATGGGAAACAGCGGTGGAAATATTATATATAACCACATTTGTTGCAGACAAATATATTAATTTATACTCAATATAAGTGGGTTTATTATTTAACCATGAAATTTTTTACTAATATTAAAATTTTAAAGGAAATATATATTTATGTAATCAAAATAACAATCATTTTGTTAAAATTATATCAATATGATTAATATTTATTTTTTTTATTCCATTATATTTATTGCAATTTATTTGAAGGTATAATCGGTAAGCATCTTTTTGTTATATTTATTGCATTTTATATTTTTTAGATTTTTTATTAATAGTTATTTTTATTGTCTATTACTAATAGAAACCTTTAATATTAACTGTCACTCATAAGTGTCAATATTACTAAATATATAAACTTTTAACATTATACGTCAGTCATAAATGTCAGTATTAAAGAGAGTTATTTTAAGTTAAAATCTATTCTATGGCTTAGTTAATAAATTTATTTTAGTAGCATTTTTTTTTCTTCCAGGCTATATTTAATTTTAAAATAATTCTCAGTTGTATCTTATTGACTCGGTCTATTAATATAAGAAAATTGATTTTAAGGCGCTCAGGTTTCTTAATCTTATCAATTTTAAAAAGACTTATGGGTATTCAAAACAATTTGCTAATCCTGTCTCATTAGAAAAACTTGTCAATATAAATGATTCTTTAAAAGTTCAAATAAGAAAGTTTTTCTTGTAATATGAATCGAAAATATATTGAGGGATGATGTGTAGAGGAGGCGTGACGTTGGGTACTTTATACCTGGAAAAATTTTGGCGTTTTTCCTCCAGATAAATTTCTCCCTGAAGACACTGGAAAGTAACACATTCCGGTTTTGAAAAAGGGAACTCCCTAAATTTGCATATCTATAAAGTTATATGAAAAAAAAATTGATAAGTGGCCTTGTATTAACTTACTTCCCATTTTGAATGTTCCTGCCAAATCTCCATCCGTTGTTATTGAATGAACCTGACATTATTACTATTTCTATTATATCCTCCCTTTTTAGATGTAACAAATTTTTCTCATCTTCCACTACTTCATTGTCCAAATGATCAGCGCTTCTAGCAGCAGAGGAATAGTCGTTTGGATTATAAGAGAATAATGCCTTTACATATAATTTTCTATAGGGGGGTTTTTAAAATATACATTAAAGGAAAGGATTATTAAAAAAGAGTTTCATTATATCTGTTGAGAAATACTAGGAGAACTAAACCTATAAGTATTAATTAAATATTTTAATATGATTTCAATTTCGTTTTTTTTTAAAATCATCCGACTTCTGATCTGAACGATAATATTATTCATACAATGGATACTTTGTAAGTGGATACTTTGAAATATTTTATTTGACTAAAAAGAAACATGGTATTCTTTTATTTCAAACTATATTGCATTATAAATATCCTATCAGTTATCCAAAAGATAATTGACTTTTAAAAAAAAAATCAATTTAAGAAATAAACTTACTTTTCACTAGAACCATACAATTCTTCCTTATTGTAATTATGTGTTATATTTTGATCTATATCACCGCAATTCGTTGACATAGCTGCTTCGTTAGGTCCTAAAATATAATTTTAAATATCAAGGCTAGAGAAAAAAATAACTAAAAATTAACCCAGCCTGTATAGATAAAACATGCAGTCTTAAAATTACCTATAAAATTAACTATTTAAAAATCAAATAATAAATATTCTTAAACTTTTCCTTTTCAATTGCTTTGACATTATAAAAATTCTTATAGTGTTTTATAGGGATAGAATACCTTAAATTATAATATCAATTTACTAAAGTAGTGACAAAGAACATTAGAAATAATTACTAATGAATAAAAATGTAACGACAAAAGTAACTGGCAAAAAGAAAAAAATAATATTTTTTGTTGATTATCTTTAGGCGACTTATAAAAATGTCTATGGGGGCTATAAAAAAATTTAAAATTTTTAATTAATTGTAAAAAAAAATAACAAAAAAACTTGTAATTTTTATTTTGCATAGAAAATCTTATTTTTTTGTTACCCTTAAATTTTTATAATATAAATGACTAAATAATATTTAATATATTTTTATTTTATGAAAGATATAATATAATAAATGTTAATATTTATTACATTAACCTAAATAATATTTAATGTTAGTCATACGAACATTCTGCAACAAACATTTACGGAAATTGTTAATAGCATTTTAATAAATTTTCCATACTCTGAAAAAATCGACATGATTTTTTTCTTACTTTGTTCTTTTAATATGGTTATGAGTCCTTTAAAAGGAATTATATATATATTTTTCAAACTTTGTGTAGTCTGAAAATATATCTATGAAGAAATAGGCGATCCATTTCAAAGCATCTCCCTAGAATACTAAAACATAATTTCCATCAGGTTTGGATCTCTATTAATTAAATGATCCATTATTGGTTTGTTGAAATGATTTTTTATACTTGCAATAGGGTGATCTAAAACTTTATGATAAATTTGTCTATAATATTTAATAACTGACCCGAAATAATGGTATAATAACTTAGAACATTTTTCGATTCTTAAAGGCGTTTTTTCTATTGCCTTCTAAATATAATCCCTTTACTTTTAAATTAACTTCTCCCCATATAATTATCATCATGTCGTATTGCATCAGAGTTTTGATCAGGATTTTTATTTTATATTTAACAATTTGAAAAAATAACGATGAACTTTGGATTTTAGATTTTAAAACTTCTACTCTCTCAAATAGTGTGTTATTTTAAGAAATAAGTTTTCAAAAACTTTATTTGGTGGAATAAATTTTTTAGTCATGTAGAAACCCCACCGCGAAATGTATTTATAATTTCTAATAAAAGGCTTATTTTATAATTCCTTTATAGTGATATTATTTGCATAAGCGTGTGTAGAGGGTAATTGTCATAAAGAAGTTGAATATCATTTTCATCTCAGACAAAACGAAATGTGTACATGTATTTGGGAGAATCTCGAATAAATGAAGATAAATTTTTCATAGATACTATAAAATCGCAAATTTTTACAATCGTATTAAATGAATTGTGTACCATAAGATATAATGTAATACCTGTACAAATCCAGATTCTTAATTACGAAGTAGTGATAACCAAATACCTTTCCACTAACGTACGAAGTTCCATCATAACATTGATTTGAGATGTGATATAATAATTTATTTATTTTTTATCGGGGCCTGGAGAAAGAGGAGAAATGAAAGAGCATAGCAATATGGAAATACTAATATAATTAATCTATTTTCTTTCTCATTTTTAGATATATTCATCTAATCTGTGCCTATGTTTCTTTATATGATAATTTCTCGAATTTAAAACTACTGTTTATCAAATATAATGTCTCATATACATCAAGGGCTCTTGTAGATAGTTTGTTTAGTCTAGGAAGCTTATTTAGTGGAAAAAGAGAGCACACCTTTTAGGCATCAATTTTAAAAATATTCTATGGTTAAAATAAAAATTTACTAAGTCCAAATTTTATAATCGTGGAAACGATTGTGTAATCATTTTTTTAAAAAAATATTTAATTATATTATAGGCTGTGACCTAAATATTCAAAATATAAATAAATAAATTTATTAATTTTAATGTTTTAATGTAAAAATAAAATATTGGTCTATATCATTTTTCAGAATTTACAAAAATTTATTATTTTTTAAAAAATAAAAGAAATAAATAAAATTTAGCTCAAAATTTATAAACTTGTGAAATTCTAAGGGAACAACGTAAGAATATTAATTTATATTTTTAAATTATAAGAAATGGACAGTATCTAAGCCCATTTTATAAATTTACTGAAAAATTATAGCTATATATATTATAATAATGTTTGTTTTAGTGGCAAAATATTCATTTATGGGGAATGTAAGAGTACATTGAAACCTTTGGAGTAAATTTAAAATTCATAGATTCAACAGCAAACAAGATCATATGGGAGGAAATTGGAAATATATAACCTAAATTATGAGATGAAGAAAAAATTTTCAGATGTAGAAGTTAAATTCAATAAATTATATGCTCTCATCCATCAAAAATCAGTGTAAATTATTGCTATAGAACACTTTAATAAAAGGTTCTGATGTTCTTATTATAAAAAGCAAGGATCACAATATTTTTGAATAAGGAAAATGAAGATATTACCAAACATTCCAAGCAATTGAGACGACCAATTATAACATTAAAAGACAAAAATATCGAAATTTTTTATTTTAAGAATCTAAAATGAGGTTTTAGGCATCATATTTAAATCAATTGAACAATATGTCAGTAGAACAAATTTTAAAATTAAATTTTGAAAATTTATCATTATTTTTGTAAATAAAAATTATCAATATTTTTGTATTATTTAATGTTTTTATTACAATTTTATAATAAATGATATATATTATATTTTATATGTAAAAAATATCAAGCATTTTGAATATTTTAATTTACAAAACTTTAAAAAGTTTTTGATGCTTTTGGTCAATTTTTCATATTTCCAGGGCCGTAGCCAGGATATTTCAGCTAGGGGGGCCAGCTGCTTAAAAAGAAATTTTTTGCTATTTTTATTAAAAATTTATTAATGTAATAAGAATATAAAATAATACGACGATTTTTATTTTTAAATTTTAACATAAATGAATTAAAGGATAAATTTTGTGTTATTTTTTTTCATATGCCATCAATACTAAATTTTGCTTGCGTTGATCTTTCATCGACTCTATAGTGCTCGTTTGAACCCTCTTTATTGTAGAGAAAGAGGTCACACAAGAAGCCGTTTGTACCCTAATGATGATGACTGCTGAGTAGCATTTATACAATTATTTAAGTGATGATATTGTTTTTGTACATAATATTTAGTTTAAAAATTTGTTTCTTTAACTTCTGAAGCTAATAATCCTTTAACTATTTCCATTTAATGATGTAACGTTTCCATATTTAAGTTTAATAATGATTCTAATCGGGTTATCTTATCCGATATAAAGCAATCAGGGTCAGAAGGGGACAATATATTAAAACATGATAGAAGATTACAGTCATTTTGTGTTAATCTATCTAAAAAATAAACACAAAGTAATCAATAATTTCATAAAAAATTAATTTTAAAGAACTCCAATTGGAGTCTTTTTCATAAACAAATTGTAATTTGGTCTCGACTAAAAAATCTTGAAAATTTATAGGCGTTTTACGTACCCTTGATGATTTGTGGGGAGTGAGATTAAATCTTGCTAAATGTTTTCAGCCTTAATTCTAATCAAATCAAAAGAATTATCGCTTCTTTTATTTTTTAATATATTGATAGTGGAATCAATACAATTTTAACATCCACTAGATTAGTACCTACTGACTGTAGATACTTATTTAGTGGATCTATTGTTATTGTATCTCATAAATTATAATGGCTAATATAACGTAATTTATATTAACGCATTGAGATAAAAGACCAGAGGCTTGGACTGAATCATGAGAAAACCTCTGAATTAAAAGTTCTATTAGAAAAGTAAAATAATACTTCACCAATAGCCTCAAAATTCATAAATGATGCGAGATGCTTCTAAATGACCAGTCCACCTCTGGTCTAAGAGTCTCTTAAGAGTATGGTTTGCATATTTACAGGATACGTTAAAGCTCCTAAAAAATTATACAACGCATTGTATAAATTAAAAAAATTAGAAATGATAACAATGTTATTATACCAATTTTGAACTACAAGAAGCAACATGTGGTTGTAGCAATGTATAAAAGGAACTTTTTTATTAATTTTTTTTTTGAATGGGTTTGCACTCCTTCATTTCGGTCAGATATAACGTTTACCACATTATATACCTGGCTTATTATATTCGTTGAATAAATATTTAACTCATTAAGTTGCTTTAAAATGTAATTAGTAATGCTTTCAGCAGAAAGACATTGTAAATTAATAATTTCTATTAAATTTTCTTGGACTTCTCCAGAAAAAAATATAACGAATATTTATGTCAGGTTTTAACAACCTTATGCATTTTTTGTCTAAACAGTCTTAAGACAAATAAAAGGCATCTCACTCTTGTTATATTTATCTGAAATATATTCAAGCACCATATCTGCCATAATAGATATTACTTCGTTTTGAATCTGGGGTGATGTATATTGAGCATTTTTGGGTATAAATTTTATAATTTTATTTAATTCAGGATCTTTTTGGATGGTGCATGAAAACAAATCCAGAAGAATAAATAATGTTTTCATCAGTTGTAGCATCCTTAATTTTTGTTGAACCAATCCCCACGAAAAGGTAGAGGTAGCTCCTGTATGCTAAGAACTAGCATCAAATCAAATATTGATTTAAGATAGTATAGATTACGGTTAATTTGTTGGCTTATCAAAATTGTTGTTTTCTCAGTATTTTCTTTATAATTCTAAAATATTCACCGTTGTTTTAAACAACTGTTATATAATAATAATATTGTGATTGAACCATAATAAATAAAATAATTATCATTGAATAAGTACAACTTAAACGTGATTAAGCTCCTATATAATGTCATACACAAACACACATGGAAAATGAATGATGATTTATTATTGGATAAAAATAAAACAGGATAGGAAGAAATTTACAAACTATACATGTTTTTTGAATAAATATTTAAAATTTATTATAAAAAAAATATTGGGGGGGGGGGGGGGCGGAAAAATTTCTGGAGGCCATTTTTGGGGGCCAAAGGTTTTTTCTGGGAGACAGGTTTGGGGCCAAAAAAAAATTCTGGGGGTCTGACCCCCCTCGTGGCTACGGCCCTGCATAACTCTTTTACAAAAATTTATAGATAAGTAAGTTATTAATTATTTTACATTTTTTTTATAAAAATAATATCCCATTGTTTCAGTGATTATAATATTACTAGTTAATAACCCGTCAAGAATGATGGGGTTGAGGGGTAATTAGTTAGTTTGTGTATATGGTACTAAATATGCTTTATATTAAAATTTAGGAGAAAAAGAGGTAAAATTGTTGCAATGTAACCCGTGAGCATTAAGGGTATTAGAAATATCAAAATTTAAATTTGTTAAAGGAATCATATTGGGTAAAATTAAAAATAGAGATTCTTCAAAATTTTTGAATTTTAAATATGGGCTGGACATTGGCCTAAAAAATTTTTTTGCAGACACAGCTAGACCTGATCAGAAAACCACGTCCCATGTAACTTTCCCAAAATTTTGCCATTTATTTCTATTGTAATTTAATAATAATGTCTTAAATTTAATTTTATATTTAGAATAAAATTTAAATTTGTGATAGAAATCATATTGAATAAAATTTAAAATAGATATACTTTGAAATTTTTGTATTAAATATGAGCTAGACATTGGCCTGAAATTTTTTTTTGCAGACATAGCCAGGCGAGATCAAAAAACCAAGTCCCATGCAACTTTCATAAAATTTTGCCATTTATTTCTATTGTAATTTAATAACAATGTTTTAAATTTAATTTTATATTCCATTTATTCCTATTGTAATTTAATAACAATATTTTAAATTTAATTTTATATTTAGAATAAAATTTAAATTTGTGATAGAAATCATATTGGGTAAAATTTAAAATAGATATGCTTGAAAATTTTTTAATTTTAAATATGGACCAGACATTGGCTTGAAATTTTTTTCTCAAACCTGGTTAACCCATAATAATTTTGTAATTTTTTCCCAAGCCTGGAGATAGGTAAATATCTGAAAACCATATTGTTGGGAAAATTTTCTCAAGCCTGCCAAAGACCATAATAATTTTGTTAGTTGAGAACTGAAATAAAATATATAAAAGTCATAATTCATTTAAAAATAAAATCAGAACATGAAAGTTGCATAGGCTTGGTTTTTTAATCAGGCCTGGCGATTTCTGCAAAAAAAAATTTCAGGTCAATGTCTAGCCCATATTTAAAATTAAAAAATTTTCAAGCATTTCTATTTTATATTTTACACAATATGATTTCTATCACAAATATAAATTTTATTCTAAATATAAAAATTAAATTTAAGACATTTTTATTAAATTACAATAAAAATAAATGGCATTTTATGAAAGTTGCATGGGACTTGGTTTTTTGATCAGGCCTGGCTATGTCTGCAAAAAAAATTTTCAGGCCAATGTATAACCCATATTTAAAATTCTAAAATCTTAAAGCATCACTATTTTAAATTTTATCCAATATGATTTCCATCACAAATTTAAATTTTGATATTTCTTATACATGCTCACGGTATACATTTCAACAATTTTACCTCTTTTTCTCTTAAATTTTAATATTTATATAAAATTTATTAATAAAGTATATAAAGTAAATAATTACCCTTCAACCCCGTCAGCTAATATGGTAATAAACGGCAGAATTTTAAAAATATCAGCTATTAATTAATTAATGTACATATAATTATATTTTAAATTTAATTATAATCAAGTTGGTGCATGCTTAAAACATACGACTTTGAAATGGGAGGTTTGTGGTTCGACTCTCGTAGAGAGCAAAAAAAATAACATTACACTATTTTAAATTACATAAGGAAGATACGAAAACGATCATGTTTTGATCATGGAGATTTTAGATATTGCACTATATATTTTTTCATGTATATAATATGAAATATATTAGTAAGGCATCACTAATGTTCAATATTCTAGAAGATGCCATACAGCATATCAACGCCAGGAGATATTAACAGTTCTACTGTAGCCATTTTGTGATTATCAAGAGAGGGGACCATCCCCATTCTTTGCAGGTTCTGCAGGTGCATATTATGTATACAAGAAAGGCGGATAGAGGTCCCCATTCATTGAAACAGTGGTTACTAATCGAGCGTTTAAAAGACTTTACCACTATAGCGTAAAACATTCAATAGATTCCCACCGAGTATACTCCTTCTGATGATAGAAACAGACTCTAATATGATATGCTTGACCCTAACATGATATGCTCTTTTGAGAAAAACTTTAGTATCCATGGTTTCTCTGAGTTCTCGCTAACTATAGTTAACTTATAATACAATATTAGATACGGTCGACACACCTTCTCCGATTTACGATCTACAGAACTCATCAATCTTTTCCTAGTCTTAAAACAAAGCTTATAAAAATCCTTCCCTCAAGATTTTATTCAAATCTAAAATTTAAAAAAACTATCTACATATATTATCATAACGATACATATTTTTACTTTTCTATATACGACTTTTTTATAATGTAATATTATTGTCGATCGCTTTTCTATAAATTTATATACAATTTATCTAGTTTTACTTTATACTACTTATGTTTTTCAAATAAAAGTGCTGAGCTATAAAACCAAGACACTCTCTAAAAATTTTCCTTTTACCTTAAGGATAGGTATAATATTTTAAAAATTACCCTCAAGGTCATTTATTATAGATGCTTTTACTATAAAAGAACAATGTTTTTTTATTAATTTAAGATGAAAGCCAGTCTGAGAATTAATATAAATAACCACTACAAGATGTCACATTAAAAATTGGGAGGTGGGGCGTATGGTTATACTAAATAATTATTTTATATAATTAAACCAAATTGATTTTGATATCAAATTCAGTATTTTCCTAACCCAGAATTCATAGTTAGCGCAAATTCGCGGCGAAGTATACAAAAATACGGAGAATACTTTTGGGTGTATGTTTCCTCATATATATTATGGAAGGTTTTGGCAGTAGCCCCTACATTTCTGAGTGATGGAAGCAGAATACCCCCCTGAAAAGTACCCCCTCCTTCGAAAAAATGGTTAATTATTTTTTGACTCCTAAATTTCAGAAATAATTTTTATAGCATCAATCTTTAATATATATTATAAATAAAATGTAAAATAATATACTTATATTATTTTTAAAATAAATTAGACAAATAGGAGAAGAGAAAACGAATGAATTTATAATTTCATCTATATTTAAATGTTTAAATAAAAAAATTTCCATTGATAAAATAGTTAAATTATTAAGAAATGGATCTTTCATGGTACTACGAAGTCTTGTTTTAATTAATTTAAATGACTCTTTTGGCTAATGGTTAATAAATATTTATATAAAATTTTTAGGGAAAGCAGAAAAATTTTAAAGTAGACGATAAGTAAACGAATAGTTTTTTCAGCCTGAATAATTAAGTCACAGAATTATCATCATCATCTGAAGATACTAAATAATGTATTTTATAAGATAAGTACAAAAAATTAAATATTTAATAAAAAAAATTACTTTGCTATTCGTCCAATTTTGAGAAATATTCTTAAAAGCTACTATATCAAAGCTTTTTTTTATATCGTTAAAATTAAGCCCACCATGTCTTCTTCTAATGTGGTCTGTCCATTTATCATCTCTTATATTATGCCATGTGCAATTATTAATTAAGCATTTGTATTTTTTTTGGTTAACATTTTTGGGCATATTTTGAAATTGAGAAAAAAATTTTATTACAAGAAATCTTGGATAGCAATCCAATTTGCCAAACATCTGCCAAAATTTATTAAAATGTAATAATAAGACCTCTCACTTATTATTTAATTTAATCTGTATTAACGGAATTACGAGTTAGTCATAAACCAGAAATCACTTGGTTATGGATGGGTGTAGTAAAACAATAAAAGAATTAAATTTAAAAAAAAGGAAAAAAAAAGTACCCCACTCAAATTTTCAGAAGAAGTTGCTTCGGACCCCCCCCCCTTAGTTGTGGGCTTTTATACCGCTTTTTGCTGCTTAGGTTATATTTTTTTATTTTAAATTTTGGAAATCATATAATAAAGATAATTAATGAGATATATACAAATGTTTAATATAATTAAAAGGTAACTAGTTACTTTGTCATTACATTTAAAAAATACAACAGTAATTTAATGAAAATATATAAATAGTTATCGCCACTAGTTATTTAACATCACTAAAATGCATCTATACGATCAATTTAGCAAGGAATTTAAATTATGACACTTAACCAAAAATATTTTTTTAACCTTGCAAAGACATATTTACTCTTCTAGACGATTGTGAAGATGAAGTGGATTGAGATCCAATTCCTCCTTGTAACCCATGGATTCTTGTGTTATTACTATACTTGTTTTCTGATTAATATTATTTATTCTATAATTATAATGTATGTCGTAGCTTATTAAAACATTTATTATAATCCGTTTTTCATTAGGGTGTGTATAAATCTTTCACATTTAAATATTTTACATCGCACATCTTTTAATTTTTAACAATTTGCTTTTGCTGGAATTTTATTCTAGGAAGTGTATAGTATAAAGCTATAAATTTCCGAAATTGTGCTCTCCTATTTTGAATTAATTTTAATTAAATTAATTTATATTAATTAAAATTTAACCCAAAATTTTCTAAAATTAATTGATACTTCTACATGATGGAATACAATTAGGCAAAAATTATGCATTTAAAATTAAGAATACCTCTATAATTATATAAATTTTAAAGATTCCTCTATACCCTCCTATTCCTCCATACCCTTCGACTATTAAAGATCTGCAATGCTCGGCCCGGTCTGTTTTGGTCCTTAAGAAATTTTGTATAATTTGTCTGCCCCGTTAATTTTTTGCCCGGCTCGTTAAAATTTTACGTAAAGTTCGCCAATTTTTTGTACAAATCCGGCTATCAAATTTTTAATATCTATATCTTATTTTTTCCCCCAGTGTGCCAATTAAGGCTCTTATATCTCTCCAATATGGCTATCCATTTCTTTCCATAACAGTAATTTTATAAATCAATGTTTGATATCTGTATGATGTATTTGTAGTTGGATTATATAATAAATAATAAGATTTCAAAATATTAGGTTAAATTCAAAAAAATATATCAAATTTTTTTTTTTACAAAAAATCAGAGATTTTGAGGTCCTGCCTAATTTTTTATGTATATATTTATTTTACACGACTTTGGGCTAAGCTGCAGATCTCTAATATACAAACATCTAACTCATTTTAACCTCACTGGAGAAATCACAAATAAACAGGTTCGAATCACTATTTTCTCCTATATTTCTTCCTTTAACTAGTTCGCACATATATTAAACTTTTCAAATTATATAGTTGACCAAAAGATAACTAAAATTTTTGCTGTGTAAGAAATTTTATGAAGAGAAAAAAATATTCCAGTGTTAAGGAGATGATTATCATCTAACTCGAGAAGATAAATGAATATCACACATTTATAAGAAAAGAATGGAAAAAGTTTATAATTATATAAGGTACCTTCAGCTATTGCATACAACCTCGGGCTGTTAATTGATTCATTGACTCCATCTTTATGTTTGTTATTTATTCCCCCGTTAGTATTAGGGCAATACAAGCTTTCCACAGGTCTAGAAATATTTCTATTGCTTGTGTAAATAGGTTGATCGTTCAAGACAGCATTTAGATTAATAGGATCTTTTTGTAATTTGAAATATATTTATATTATATATTAAGGGTTTAGCAAATTCAGGGCTATACTTCATTTTTTATATTTGTCCCAAAAAATCCCACACGAAATAAAAAAGTATTTATGCCAGGCCCAGCCTGAATTAAATATATTTAAAAAAATTGTTTTTTACCATTACTTTATGTTTTATTTTTAATTTTTTTATATAAAAAAAATAGTAGACATTAGAGATCCGGTATCCGGCCCGAACAGGTTTCAGGCCGGGCCTATTTTAAAAAAAACTGGTTTCGGGTCGGGCCCTAGAATTTTTTTAAAAATATATCTAAATTTATCAATTTTATGTTGAATTTTTTATGTAAAATAAAAATATTTGATTTTATTTATAGAAACTAGACCCCATATAACATATATCGTTTATTTTGAGTAATTATAAAAATTAATTTCTATATTTAAATAAATTCCAGCCGAGCCGGGCAGGTAAATTTTTTCAATTCGGGTTCGGGCCGGGCCGGCAAAACTTTTTAAACTAAACTTTTTTAAAAAAATTTCGGGACCGGCCGGGCTTGAAAAATTAGGCCCGATGCATATCACTAGTAGACATTGCATTATTATACCCTACATAAAATATAAATGTCGCCTAGTTTCCTATAAATAAATAAATTTTTTAATTGTAAAAAAATTATTCTACACGCGAACAAAAAAATATCGGCATTGTGTTTCTTGCAAAAATTTTAAAATATATTAATTTTATTTCACAAAATTGAATCATATTATACATCTAAATTTAAGCCTGATGTAATTTTTAAGACAATATTAGAAATTTTTTTAAATAACCCAGCTCGACGCCAGTTTGGGCTGGGCCGGATTCGAGCTAGGCATACTATTGTATACATCTCTAATTCATATTCTAAGACCAGATGTTTGATAATAATATTGTTTCAGGTTATTATTTTTGAAGGAAAGAATATTGTGAACCAGAATTCCGTTTAGCCTTTACTTTAGGGTTTGTGGTTCGGTTTGGTCTTAGAAAATCGGGTACAGACCACTAGTATTTTTTTTAAAGAAAAATTATTGCCTGAAATTCCAGGATAGGGACTCTATACATGCTAGATGATTCCTACAAAATGAAAAATCTTTCGAAATTAAATGTGCGCTAGTGTTGGTAAACGGCTATTTTGCCAAGATATATTAAGCAAGCCTCGAGATTTTGTTAATAGATTTCTAAACCTTTCTATATTCTAAGCAAAATCTGCAGGTTGGGTAATATTTTAGGCTAAAGGCTTAGCCGTTTTTAAAAGAGCCGTTTTTAAAAGAGCCGTTTAACAAGACAAATGCGCACTATAAAGATGAAATTTTAAAATTCGCTAAAACAGATTAATTTTTCAAAAACCTGCTATAGTATAAATTATAAAATGGTTCCATTTACATTTAATTAATGTATTTCTAAATCAAATTTTAACTTGACTAGTATCTCATTAATAACTCGGAATTTTAACAGTGAAAGGAATAAAAAAAAATTGCATTTTTAGCAATAGTATTACTAATATCATATTAATTTAAGAGGATACAACTTTTATATCAGGTAATTAGATTTGCGTTTTTAAGTTTATTTTAAAAAAAAATTGGTTGTATAATTTATATTTTATATATTTTATTGTAGCTTTTATAGTTGATATATATGTTTTCTAATAAACTTTATTCAACCTAGTTCATTCACATACATAAATTATAACTTGATAGTTAACCCCAAAGGTAGACACGTTAAATTGCATCAATGTCAAAGTCGATACCACGCCGCCTTTCCATTAATAAACTAATAAAAATTTATTTAAAGCTCAGATCTCAAACAATTTTGAATCATGTAATCATTTAACAGGCGATAGTTTAAGTCCCGATAGTCAAACAATTCTCTCGCTTTGAGATTACATATGCATGTCAGCTTTCCCAAGCAATATTAATAAAAACTAACACCTTAACAGAAGCAAAAATAAAATTTAAAAAACTGACTTTATTTTCTCACAATAATTAAATTTACCAACAGACTTTTTTTTTCTTTTCCACCGTCATTTTCACTTTTTAATACATTAGATCATAACTTCAACTCTGGAACTCAAACGATTTTTTTAGCCCAAGACCCTCACGGCCCGATGTCTAATTTTTTTTAGATCTTAGCCCGGCTCCTGGATGCCTTAAATTTAAATCTTAACTTTGATCATTAAATGATGTTTATCTACTTTATTATTTATTATAAAATATGATAGGATATGAAGATGAATCGTAAATATTTACCATCTCCAGATTTTTTAAAACTTTTCTTATTCTTTTAATTAATTTCATAATTGTGATATACAGGTAAAAAGGAAGAATAGGAACGAGATATAACATTAATATTATTAGGGCTCTAACCTATATATTGATGATGTGGCAACCGGTCGGCCTTGCAGGAGATACTAATATAAGGTTTCCTTTTTAAAGTATTTATTATTTTTATATTTTGCTTTAAATAATATTAAAGTTTAAATTAAAAAACACGGGAATGATAACTAATTATCCTGAATATAGTTAGGTAATTGCCCTATTTTAAGACTTTATAGCCGGAAATTATCATATTAGATTCGGTTTTTTCTTAAAATATATGGAGCAACTTTGAAAAAATAAGGTATAGATTAATTCACGCTTTAATCTTCGTGTATTTTGTTCAGGAAGAACTTGTAGATTGAATCTAAAATTACTCGATTTTTAGGCATTATCCAACTATAATCCTGAATATTATAAGGGAACCTGTAAGTTAACATAAATTTTAGACATGCAGAGATAAAATTATTCAATTAGTTTTGGAGCCAGATCTAGACCAGATTTTATAAATTTGGGAACATTTTAGGGCCCTTGTCCCATTTTATGCTGTTTCGGCTGTATATTTTGTAAATTGTTTAGAAAAGTAAATGGGAAATATTAGTAATATAGATAATGTTACGGTTTTATATATTTTTCAACTGATTATTTGATATTAATCGCGGACAGAAATGTCTTAAACAAAATTACCCAACGACAAAAGACACCGGACAAAATATTAGAAATATATTTAAATGCTTAAAAAGAGGGTAATTTTAAAAATATTTACCTTTTTGAGCGTTTATAAATATTATTTGAAAATCGGGGTATTTTTGTACGGTGTCTTTTGGGAAACTTTCTGTCCGATGCCTCTTTGCCTAGGAATTTCCATCCGCTATTCAATTGATATTGCAAAGGTAATCTATTTGACATTTTTTTCTGAAACTAACTTGGACGAGAGTGGGGTATGGTTTAAAGGGTCGCCAGATACGGAATAGGGTTAATAAATCTAATAAAAACTATTTAATAAATCGGGTGGTTATTAGATAAATTGTTATATGCTATCATGTCAACTGATGTCATTAATAGTCTTTTACATTGATATGTATAAAACTTTCTTATTATCATTAAAATATCGCAATTATATATATACCTATTATTATGTTTTATTGCATCATAATATATTCTTTTTTGGAAAAAAGTTTATAAAAAATATACATTACTAGATATCTTTTTTAGCTTAAGTACTTATTGTGCAATATTTTATCAACCTGGATTTTTTTTAAACATTATTCGAGCCGGCATACAGGTATCTTCATAAATACTAGTAATATATAAAATATCATAATACACTATAATCATGATATATCTATGTTATAATATTTGTTCATTTTATATTATATATATAATATGTTTAAAGATATTATAATGATAATTGATATTCATATAATTTAAGGAATTTATGAATAAATCACAAGTAATCTAATTTGCTTAAGACAAACTTTCATATCTATCTATAACAAGTGGGGGGGGGGGGGGGGGGGGGGTAGAATTCTCCTTAGTTATCGTCATGGCGGTATTTAAGCTTAGAATAGTATAAATTATGTTAGGCACTATATAGTAGGGGAGACTGGTGTTAGGTAAACCGTGGGGCTTGGCAAACCATTTAATATTATTTTAAAATTATAAACACTAGAAGGTTAAAATTTTATCCTAATATAGATTTTATTAGTTTACATCTATAGACAAAAAATCTTTTGGAATGATTAATTATTAAAAATTTTATTTAAGAAATAAAATTTTGATGAAATTTTCTAAAGATTTTTACATAACATTTATTAAAATATATATTCATTTATATATAAATTAAATTTTATAGCAAAGTTTAAACACTCTTCTATAATTTGGGAAAGTTTTATGAATATTTATTATGTCTATATAGTATTTCAATCATTATTAGTAAATTTAGAGCTAGCGGGGCCTGCTAAACCATACATGTCAATCCATTTCAATAATTTTTTTTAGCAATTATTACATTATTCGATATGGTGCGAAAATATAAATCCAAAAAAATTAATATAGGAGAATCTTAATATTGATAATTATTTAGAAGTATATAAAAATTTAATGAATTAATATTATAATTGTAATTAGGCTATCAGGGTATATGAAAATTGTAGATCAACAAGGAAGACTAGCCAACTTACAGGTAAATTTATCTACGTTATCTGTCTTATTTTTAAGATATAATCACAATAATTTTATGTAATTTTTAAACAATATAATCAATTTTTAGCAATATTTAATAATAGAAATTATGTAAATATTTTTATTAAATGTAATTTATAAATGATCTTATATTTTAGATTGATTACAATTTAGATGAAATATAGTATTATTGTATTAATTTTATGTAATTCTTAAACAATAAAATCAATTTTTAGCAATATTTAATAATAGAAATTATGTAAATATTTTTATTAAATGTAATTTATAAATGATCTTATATGTTAGATTGATTACAATTTAGATGAAGTATAGTATTATTGTATTAATTTTATGTAATTCCTCTTATCCTATCCTTGAAAAAACCTCTTATCCTATCCTAAACTACTATATGAAACTTACTCAAATACTCATCTAATCTATTATCATATACTATAATCATTTAATTTAGATACCATTTATATATATATATTAATTGAATCTTTTTGAAACAGTTTCTTATATATATTCTATCTATCATCGTGTGTGATTGCTATTCTTACAAGGCGGATTCTCTGTAAGATATAGAATCGGCACGGTAATCATAATTAAATTTTTAATAAAGTTTTCAATGAAGGACCACAATATTAAGATTATCTCTTTAAATATAAGATCCCTGAATGAGAAACTAACTATACTTAGGCAAATTATGAAAGACCAACATTACGATATCCTCCTTTTACAGGAGACCCACCTTAAAGTAACTGAGGTAAGGAACCTCTTAGATTACACCTTATATTGCAGCTCAAATACAGAACACGTATCGGCTGGGGTGGCGATTATGATACATAATAAACTAATAAGATTCGTAAGCTTCAACCCAATTTCCAGCCGAATATGCTGCCTTACCCTAAACTTAGGATACAAAAAAGTCCATTTGTTTAATATATACGCGCCTCACAATGATAGCGTTTTCTATATGGAATTGGAGAATGTCTTAAAGGAACTACCGCATCGGGATGGCATCATTCTAGCAGGTGACTTCATTGCTTCAGTAGGTAAATCTAAGAACTCTTCCAGCCTTGGAAACGCCACATTAATACAAAGCACGAACCCCAACGGTATAAGGTTAATAGAAATCTGCGAGCTTTTCAACTTGAAAATTGGAAATACTTTCTTCAATCATCCAACTCATCACATCATGACTTACAAGAGTCCTTCCTTTGGCATTACCTCACAGATAGATTTCTTTATAATTTCCACTAAGATTTTCAAATGGGTGAAAGACATCAAGGTAATCAGTAAACTAAACCTTACACTTTTTACGGATCATTATCCACTGGGCTGTGAACTCAAAATTAACAACAGTATCTTCCCAAATCACACTAGACAGAACAGTCTAACCACTGTAAAATACATAGCTAGAAAAGACTTGGCACAACTAAATGACTTAGAGGTGAAAGAAGAGTTCGTCTCTAAATTAACATCATGGAGAAACTCAGTAAATGGCATGATAAACCCAAATCTGACCTGGAAGGACATTAAGCAGAATGTATTAGGTAGTATAACATCATGCTTAAGACCACGCACCAAGCGCAGAGAGTATACAAATAATTAAGAATCTCACAACAAATATATTCCACCATCAATTCGCAAGACATTATAGGAGGTACATTACCCACCGCATAAGAGCTGACAAAAGACTGTTTATTGCTAACTTATCGAATTCTATCCAATTCAATTTTGATAATAATAATATTTAAAAGGCCTTCCAATCTCTAAAACTACTCACCACCTTTAAAACTAATCCTTTACCAAGACTACAATTAAACAACAACAAGATTATAACTGACCCTAAGGAACAATTAGACTTATGGATAGACCACTACATGAACCTCTACAAAACAAGATGTGATTACCCCTTCCAATCACCCAGTCAGAATTTGAACAAGTCCAATATAGTCGGTGCCATCAAACGTCTAAAAATGCATAAAGCTGCTGGAGCTGATGGAATTTTTGCAGAACTCTGGAAGATAGAGATAGACCTAAGTGCCAGCTTACTACTTCCCCTCTTTAGGGAGATTTGGAATAGGGGCAAGTTTCCTGACGAATGGATGACATCAATTATACTAAACTTCCCTAAAAATAAGTCCCCAAACTGCCTTAAAGATTACAAAGGTATTGCACTAATTCCAGTCACACTAAAAATGTTCACATACATCATATCAGTCAGGATTAAACCAATCATTAACAGGTTCCTTTCTAATGCTATCACAACATACAGGAAGGGCAGAAATACTACGGAGTTGACTATGGCACTTAAGGTCATTCTGGAAAAGGCCATAATGCATAAATCCCCCATCTTTGCCCTGATGATTGATTTAAGTCAAACCTTTGACTCCATAATTCAGAATAAGATATGGCCCTTGCTGGAAAACATTGGAATAGATAAACATCTGATAGCGCTAATTAAGATAATTTACGACAATCATAGCGTACTCAGCATCTAAATATGAAGTCGCAACCTTATAGGGACCTCAAACAAGGTTGCATCCTTTCACCTAATTTTTTTAATGTAATAATGAATGATATCCTAAATAAATCCTTTAAACAGGAATATGCACTCAACACATATTACAGTGATCAACAACACCTCAATGATATGCACAACTCTTTAAACTTTCTATATTATGCTGACGACCTATGTATTCTAGCCAACTCAGAATACAAATTAAGAAATATTTTATCATTATTTGTCAACAACTGTGATGGATATGGTTTAAGAGTAAACTACACAAAATCCAAACTAATCACCTGAAATACTGATGCGAGTCACTTAAACCCCTTTAACTTTGAGGGTAATACGATAGAATTAGTGTCAGATTTTAAATACCTAAAAACCAGGATAACGTCATTAGGCCTCACCTTTTTAGATACGAAATCGAGAACGAATAATTCTAGACTCCGCTATCATCAACTGTCGAAATTATGGTCATCCAATTAATATCAACTAATTTAAAAATAAGACTCTTCAAGTCCCTAATTGTACCCATTTTTACCTACGGCCTGGAGACTTGGCAAGACTCAAAAAGTAACATCAGCACAATTCAGACTTTTATAAACAAATGCCTTAGAAGAATCACCAAAACGTATTACCCATACAACACATCAAATACAACGCTCTGGAATAGAAGCGACATCCTACCGAACAATCGTCTCATACCCTTGAGGAGACTAGAATTACTAGGCCATAGCTTAAGACACTCGCTGGAAAATATGATATTCTCGTCCTTGAAATGGTGCCCAGGAAGAAAACCCCTAAATACTATTGGTTGGCGAAATGTTTGATATACCTCTCGTTTGCAGATTTCATGGCGCTCAGTAAAAACAAGAAACACCTAAAGGAACATTTACAATACATGCTAAAATATGGCCTAAATTAATATCGCAACCGTTCTTCACCTTTACGTTCTTGCAATAAATGGAATAAGTGTATTTGATAATGATAATAACCTGAACAACAACAACATAACTTAACTTCCTTTATTAACCCACGACCTTCCTTTCTGGACACACGATATCGGCGACGATAATGATAACAATTACGAAACTATTAGTTGTATAACAGACAATGAGAAGATAAACTGGCTATAATAATAACGCAGTAAATCGGACGAACCCAAATACCATTGGCACAGCACATACAAGATCTACAGGACATACAATATTTTGGCACACCGAACAACAAACAAGGAAGAGACTCTTCATGCAAACTTAACATAAACTCTCAATACTTAACAAGATATAAGGGTTATTTTTTATGTTGCCTCACTAAATACCACATAAGGATGCAGGTACATTTTTTATATAACATTATTTTTATTTTTTCCTTAACACTATTCTGCCGGAAACGGAACTAATACATCACCATTATTGTACTTCTTCCTTCTTCACTTTGCTAACAGGCTACATAGTGGTACCGTCCACTATAATAAAACGGGTAGACATCATGTATGGGATCTATATACTAGTGAAAATACATGATGCACGCTTCAACTCCTGGTGGTAATGAATGAATGAATTTATAAATGATCTTATATTTTAGATTGATTACAATTTAGATGAAATATAGTATTATTGTATTAATTTTATGTAATTCTTAAACAATAAAATCAATTTTTAGCAATATTTAATAATAGAAATTATGTTAATATTTTTATTAAATGTAATTTATAAATGATCTTATATTTTAGATTGATTACAATTTAGATGAAGTATAGTATTATTGTATTAATTTTATGTAATTCTTAAACATTAAAATCAAATTTTAGCAATATTTAATAGTAGAGAATATGCTAATAAAATTTAAATGGTAATGGTAAAGAGATTATCATTTTTAAATTTTATGTTCTTAAATGTTAAACTTATAATTAAATAATTATATATTTTACTTGACATTTTTATTTTAGGTATTCCTAGATCAAACTTTATGAAATATTATAAGAGATATCAAGAAAGTGGCATACTTACTAGTGTAGGACAAAATAATAAAAAGAGGATATTCACAGAAGAAGAAGAGGGAGATATAACTAAATATCTGATTCAATCTAGCCAAATTTTTTATGGCCTTTCAATTAAAAAGGTATAGTTTATTCTTCATTATTTTATATTGTTTTTTAGATAAAAATATTAGCCTACCAAATGGCAGTAAATATGAAGAAAAAATTTCCTAAATCTTGGAAGGACAATTCAATGGCTGGCCATGACTGGTATTTAGGATTTATGTCAAGAAATCCTACTCTCTCCTTAAGATTCCCTGAAGCTACAAGTATGGCTAGGGCAACTGGATTTAATGAAGAAAATGTTCTATACTTTTTTGATTGATATAAAAGTTTATTAAATGATTTGTTAAGTAAATGTTTACATTTAATATTTAGGAATATTAGATGAACATAAATTAGAATGTATGGCAATTTACAACATGGATGAAACTGGACTTACCACAGTTCAAACCCCATCCAAGATTATTGCACAAAAGGGTCAAAAACAGGTAGGATCTATTACTTCCGCAGAAAGGGGTACCTTAATAACATTAACACTTGCTGTAAATGCAATTGGTCATACAATTCCTCCAATGTTTCTTTTTCCCAGAAAAAAATATTATGACTATTTTGTTAGAGATGGTCCATCTGCTCTATAGGGGTATCAAATGGTTCTGGATGGATGCAAGAGGAGGATTTTATTATTTTTTTGAAGCATTTTTCTAAACACACTCGGTATACTCCAAAGTCCAAAGTTTTATTAATCCTTGACAATCATATATCACACTACTCCTATTCAGCTGTCAAATTTTGTATAGATACGGGAATAATTCTATTATCTTTGCCACCCCATTGCACCCATAAATTACAGCCTCTTGATCGATCTGTTTTTGGGCCTCTCAAAAAATATTACAATAATGCACTCAGGAAAATTATTTACAATTTATGATATTCTATCGGTTATTAAGGATGTCTTGCCTTTAGCATCACCTCTCAATATACCAAATGGTTTTAAAGCATGTGGAATATATCCACTGAATACAGATATATTCAATAAAGAAGATTATGTGGCCTCAGTTTATGGAGATTCTATATGTGAACTTCCAAAAAGCCCATTATTAGAATCAAGCTCAGTATATTTGGTATTAAAAGATATTTTAAATACTAATAGAAACTTAGATATATGTTATGATACTCCATCTACCTCTTATGTTCATTTAGATAATATTCCTGGACCATCGTGCAATTTATCAATATCCTTGCCTCATCCCAAAAAGGAAATAGTCAGGAGAGTTAAAAGGAGAGCAGAGATATTTACATCATCTCCTTATAAAAAGAAATTAATTGAGAAAGAAAAGTAAATAATGGAAAAAGAAAATATTAACAAGAGAAAAATAGTGAAAAAATTATTCACAAAGATATTTGTGTTTGTTGTAAGCTGGAATATATCAAACATCATAATGGTGAAGAGTGGTACCAGTGCAGAATGTGCCACGAATGGGTACATGGTACATGTGCTAATTTTGATAAATTTTTTATATGTCCAAAATGTGTATTAAATTAACCAAAATTAAGTTTAAATTTTTATATATAATTAGCTTCAATTTATATGTATTATGATATTTTTAACAATAAAAGAATAAAATTATAGTATATGTATCATTATTAATAAATAAAAATACATTTCAATTTATTATGGCCTAAAAAAACCATTGGTTTAGGAAACCCCTTGAAGTGGTTTGCCTCACCCCGCTATTGGGGCTTGTTGGGCAAATTTACGACTTTTACAAAAAATAAAATTTCAAAAAATTGATTATATTCTAGAATTTTTTTATAAGGCACCTTTATAGAGTATAGTTTTAGGTATCCAATCATATATTGCTTTTTATATTATCTAAAAAAACCAGGAGCTATAAACAATTTTGTAAAAATCGGTTCACCTAACCCCAGTCTCCCCTACATACTAAATATATATATTCTTTTTTTCTTTTTTGTATTATATTATTATTTAATATAATAAAATAAAATTTAAAAAGGGTAATCATTACAAATAATAGTTCTTCTTTATTTTAACTAGATTTATTTTTTACTTGATTCAAAAGCTTGTCTCAAATTGACGTGCAGGTCATAATCTGACGACATCTCGTAATTACTGCACGAACCATTTATGCTACGATTTTTTGGAGTTAGATCATATAACGAATATGATCTATCGTTTATCTTTTTTTAAAATACAATTTTTTTAAAAAATTAAAAATGCAATTTAAAAGAGTTGAAAAGCAATCATACATAATGTGACAATTGTTAAAAAAAACCATTGTACAATATACTTCCGAAAATACACCGAATAATTTTAAATGATATACTATTTATTGCAAAGTAAGACATCTAAATATAATACATCGATCGACTTATAATAAGTAAGGTTCAGGTTATATAATTTAGTCTTTCCTGGTAAATCTAGATAAAATAATTTCCTGCAACATTATTAGTTTAATTCTTGAACATAATTTTTTTTTTAAAATAACTTCTCTCTCACCAATATTGGTTTGGGGCTCAAAATAATATAAAAAAAAATTGTCACAGTATTCATAAAAAAAAAAATCTCAAACTTTTAAATTTTCCTGTAATATCTTGTTCAAATCCGCGCAAGATCGATAATTATTAGACAATAGCGAATTTTCTTTGACTAGCAAGTCAGCTATATCATTTATGTTATGGTTGTTATTGTAAATCGATTGATTATTTTCGAGCATCTGTATAGCGGATATATTGTATCGTCGGTTATCATGCAATAATAAATTGGTTTCCCATTCTGTTATTTTAGGTCCGAACAACAAGTTGACCTATAAAAAAGGGGCATGGGTGAATGAATTAGTTTAGTTAAAAAACTTAATTATTTTAACTTTATTAGATTCCTTTTTTATCTGATAATAATTTCTTTTAAAAAATAATAAACAAGAGAAATTGGGGCTAGTAACAATCTCATTTTGAATTAAAGCACTGGGATTTATAAATTATTTTCTATTATAGCTTTAATATGGACGAAAAAATTCTTCATATACAAATTAAAATTAAGTATACCTTTCTTTTATAAGAAAAAAAGTTAACAAGCATTTATGTTTCTATAACCCCGTAAAATTAACATTTATTATAGACCTACGCCCATCACTTGGTCCCCAAGGCTTGAATTTTTATAAAAGAATATATAGAAAAAATCTCAAACGAATATTTATTTTATTCTCTATTAACATTCAGCAATAAATTCCATAGTTTCGTGGTGGTTATCTATTTTATTCTATTTATTACAAAATGTTATAGTAAAATAAATATGAAATATTTCGTACTTCTAATTTTTTTAAAAAAACTTTTCTTAATTTTTTAAATTCATTTAATCAAGCAAAAGAAGGCAGAATATGAAGGAAATACAAAATTAATATTTTTTTAGGCCATGAGTCTAGTGGGGTTGACGGGGCCCTGCAGCACTCTAGTTATTCTTTAATCATAATTAGTAAATTAAGAGCTAGTCGGATGGCTACCAGGGAACTTTAAACTCTAAAAAATTTAATTTAGTTATTTTAGGGATTACTTATATTACCTGTATAAACTTTTATAAGATATTACAAAAAAATACAATTAAAAACAGCTTTTTATGTATAAAATTTTATTATAATAACCAAAATTATGTTTAGATTTCTACGTGTAGATAATTTGGTTCAATTTTATAGTAGCGTGTTAGTTTGATCAATAAAATATTAAATTTATAGGAGTTGTAACAAATTTCGCAAAAGAATTAGTTTGACAAGCCCGGTCTACAAGGAGATTTTAAGAAACATAAATTGGTGAAAATTTTATTTGGTAGGGTTGGAATAAGTAGAAGCACATTAATTAGTTTAGGAAATGGAGTGGTAGGATTGTTTTAGATATTAGGAATAGGAAATATAAATGACATCAGAATCAAGATAGTAAGGATGATATGTAAATAAATTGGGATCTTATATAAATAATTAATTTGCAAAAGTTTATAGAAAAATAAAATTAAATTCTCTTTTTTTTTACCTTAGATGTTTCGGATAATAGGCATTTGATTCTATTAAATTGCTTGTTCAGTATCTTGGTATAGCAATCTTTCTCCGTTTTGTAAGCCTTTTTATATTTTAGAAAATAATTTTGCTAGAATTGATCGCTTGTTTAAATTAACTCTCATTAAAAATAAGAATCATATTTAAATAAAATTAGTTCAATTAGTAAGAAGAATTGATCGAATTAATTATTTTTGACGATTTTCATTGATTATGGTGTAAAAATGAATCACATCATTTAAAAGTCAGAAACGAGTAGGCTATATACTTAATTAAAATATTATATGTTTATTTCAAAATTATTCATATTTTATAAATTTGTAATAAATATATTAACTGAAATAAATTAGAACCAAATTGATTTATATTTTTAATCTGAAATTTAGTTGTGATAATATATACTTTTATTCAGAACTTTTTAATATTTATTATTGTAGGTATTCATTCCTATTCTATAAAACTAGGTCATTTAGTCTACAAGGTCATTAGGCGCTAACACATCTATTTTTATTGGCAGGTATTTCATAATTAGGTTTGAGTTTTGTTAAAATTTGGGCGAAGAATTAAGGAAAAATATATAATTAATATTTATTTTCAATAATTTTTTTAGGCCCTTGCTCCTTTCTAAATATAAAACCTTACTGGTCTTATTACCTCATTTTCCTATTGATTCAACTAAAAGAAGCACTGTGTGCGGCCGATCTAAGAGACGATATGTTTTGGAAATAGAATAATATCATATGCAGATGACAAGTTGTAATATCCAAAAATATAGAAGAAACAACATAAAACCAGAGGAAGTTAATTTTTAAAACTAGAGCCATAGCACGATACTTTTAAATATGGGATATAACAACATTGTTTTGGCTATAATAAGAAAAATTATAGTCTATTTATTTAAATAGGCGTTTTTAAATATTTCTACCATACCATATTTTTTTAAAAAAAGAAGATATATATTACTTATAATAATTTTATTATAAGATTAGTAATTTTATATCATGTAATTGTTTTTTTTCGCTGCCATTTTTTTTATGCAAACTGTGCATTAAGAACAGCAAGTCCCGACCAGAAAGTAATTTATTGAAAATATTTTCACCGACTGGACCAGGCCTGAAGTTCGCAGGGCACTTGTACACAATTATTTTAGAGGCCGGGTTAAAATATATATGGGTCAAGCCGAAAAACCTTTTAAAGATTTACAAGCCGGTTCGGGCTTCGCTGACAAAAATACATTTTTAAAAATAAATTAATCTTTTCAGTCTTTATGATTTTTTTTTTGAAAGAGAGAACAAAGCCCAAGGATGCTAACTATAATGGGATAGCTGGTTAAAGCAATAAATTAAGTAGAAAATTTTCTACATAAAATTCGAGGAAAATGGCAATGACCCGATAATGGAGTATAGGATATGAGTTTTGACTTAAATATTTTTTATAATTATTGTAATATATAATTAATTTTATGTGGGAAGTATAATAATAATTAAGCTTTGTTTTATATTTTGCATACCTTTTTTAGTGAATGGATCCTGTATTCATCCAATTCCTTGATCATTTCTTTTAGTTGCCAAGTGGTCTGTAATAGTGGATTTAATAATTATCATAGAATAATATGTGAGATACAGATTCTTCAATCAGATTTATTTTTGAAAATTTAATAATGTATTTTATTATATAATTACTATATTACTAGTGTAGAGCAATAATCGGTTAATTCGGACTGAACCGTGGTGGTTTCTAAAATTGGTTACATGGTTGGTCTTTGCAATCGGTTCTATATAGAACGAATTAAAAATTGTATTGATATCCGGTGGACTTAGTAACTAAGAGAAATAGCTTATCAAATAAGAAGATGCAATTTATCATGAGGTCATGACTTATAAATTGAATATTTAATACAGAAAATTTTCAAAATAATTTATGAAACTGTCTTATTATTCTAATATAATAATACTCACATGCTGTTGGCCGATACCACCGATACCAAAACAAATAGTACTGTAGTTAAATCGGTTGAAAAAAAACAGGTAAATATAATTCGTCATTAAAAATAAATAAAAACTTTTTTATTTGATTTGCACATTTAAAAAAAATATATGTATATATATAAAGTCAGAGTTGTTAACGCTCCTTTTTAAAGTAGCTAGCTTCTGCTCCTACCTTCTCAAAAGGAGGAGCTCCCGTTCATGCTATTAAATTTTTAAAGGGAGCTAGCTTCCGCTCCAATTAATGGGGTGCCACTCCATAGCCGCTTCTTTGATTTTCATATTTTTTAGAAAGTTCTCGAAAAATAATATTTTTTTATCAAAAAAGTTTTATTTATATTAAATGATATATCAAAATATTTATATTCTTTTATTAGCTTTAAAAGTAATAAATTTTTTAAATTTAAATCTAATAAACATTCACGTCCACAAAACCTGTTTAGCAATGCTAAACAGGCGCTCAACAGGAGCACTAGAGGGAAGCGGGGTATTGTATTTTATAAAAATATTTTTTAATTCAGGAAATTTATCAAAAATAGTAATTTTGATTCATTATTTAAAAAATATTTGTCCAATATATTATTTTTCTGATGATCAATTTCATGGAATTCAAAAAAATCTTCCAAATTGCAGGGTTTCAGTGAACTAGTAGCTATTTTGGCATCAGGAATTTGTTTTCTTAAAAAATTAATTAATTTGTATTTTAGTTTCATATTGTGTGCATTTTTTATCCATTCCCAATTTAATTTGAATGCAGGATGGATAATAGCCGCAATATTTTCGTCATTATAAACATTTGAAAATCTGCAATAAAGATATTTAAATAGATAACTTATTTTTTATTATAAACCTTTTATTAAGACCGCTTATAAGAGACTCTACGAGAGGTTAACAAAACTCTAAATCTGCTAATTCATTTATTTTTGAAGGAAGTTTAGAAATGGTTGGAGAAACCCATATCCAAGCTCCCCTTCAATGATTTTTAGAGCTTTTTCCAAAGGCACCATAGCCTAAAATTTATTTATTAATAGATAACGATTATATTAATATTTACTTGGCTATACTCTTTAATAAATTTAAGTTCTTGAGAGTTATAAGGCATAAGTCCATGGTTATCACATAACTCATCAAGGTCTTTTTGTTTTTCACTTAATATTTTATCAAGCAAAATCATAGATTCATATCACGAATTCCATCCAGTGGAATATGGGAATATCAGATACCTACTAAATTTTTTGATAATATTATCTGCCATATTAGTAGGTATATTTTGTTTATTCCATAAAGATTGACTTTGGAAGGAACTTTGAGATATTATATTAGAGCTTCTATCAGCTAAAGCTTTCTTTGCATCAACTGTGGCCACCAAATTGATATTTTGGCAGGCACATCGTGAATGTTATGGTATATAATCATAGCTTTCGGCCATGTTATTAAGGATATCATCAATATCCACAAATTGGAAATCTTCATCCATCTCAGAACTTTTATCTCCATAATTTTTGTTGAACCTTAACCTTAAAAATGGATTTGAGTTTTACTGAAAAAATAATTATTTCTCAAGTTTCCAAATTGTTAAAATAAAAATTTGTTTCATTAGGATCATTAGGATCTAACTCTTTAGAAGAGAAAAATATTTTTTTTTTATGATGGAATTGGGAATTTGATTTTCTCTTCTATTATGTGGATCTATAATATGAAAAACTTTTTTTTATCATATATCTATAAAATGAATATTAATATGACTTACATGAATTTCTAAGAAATTTTCAATATGAAAAGAAAGAAAAACTTGATGTTTATTATTTTAACTGATTAGATGAAAAACCAATATAAAACTTGGCTTAACATTTAATATTGCATAAATTTAAATAAAATAAAATTTCATTTTTAGTAACTTTAATTAGCAAATAAATAGATTTATTAATATATAAAAAATAATTTAATTTATACATTAAATTTAAAAGAGCGGTGGATCGGCGCTCCTCCAGTCCAGCCTTAAAAAGAGCTATCTCCCGCTCCTGATTTTTAAAATAAAGTGGGGGGGGGGGGGGCTCCAGGTATTTTTGAAAAAGTGGAGCGCCCTTAACAACTCTGCATAAAGTTATTTATATTATAGATATTTATATATTGGATAAAACAGGGGTCTGGAGACGCTACGGCCAAGTGGGCATTTTTTATAATGGCCAGCCCCCACCTTTATTTTGCGCGGTCTTCGACCGGGTTCCCTTAAATAGCTTCTTTGATTTACATGATTTTTATTACTTCTTATTTTTTGAAAATAAGTTCAAACGTTTTACATTTTTAGAAAAAAAAAAGAATAGTATTATACGATAATCATATATTTTATTTTAAAAAAATGCACATCTAAAATCATATTCATTACCTATATAAAATAATATTCATCGAAAATATATTTTTTATATTAGATTTACAACGATATTGTACTATAAAATCAAATCATACATCACATGTTAAATATAAAAAAATGCATACTCAATATATTAAATCAATTAATTATAAATATAAAATTATTGCAGCTATACAATATTACAGAGAATAAAATTGCTGCACTTTTATAAAATCAGGCACCGATCATATTGCAAATAATATTAATAAGATTCTAATAAAAGAATTAAGAAAATATATAATTTTTACGTTAATAAATCTCTCATTAACTTTGAACCTTTGTGCAAATATAAAGAAATATCTTCTAGTTCAATCTACGCTAATAGTTCTCGTTCAACTGACATCATTAAAAACTTTTCTAATTTTTCTTGATCAATATTAGCTCTCAGCTTATTTTTATAATTTTTAATTTACTAAATGCTTTCTCGCAATTAACCTACGTAAATGATAAAGTTAAAATGTATTCATATGCCAAAAATAAATTAGTGTCACTTGTATGCATATTGTATCTTTTACATACACTCATATTAAACACTTGTTACATTTATTATCACACTCTGATTTATTAACATATTGTAATATTCCATCTTCTTCATTTGACTCCTCACTTGTACATGCGATATCATCGTCCGTTTCATTTAATTCTGCTACCAAATCTTAGAATACGGCAAATGAACATAATTCGTTATGAAATTTAACACTCAATATATATGCCAATTGCGCCAGTTTTTTCAAGGTCTTTTCAGAAATACCTTTACTATTTATTTCATCAAAATGTCTTGGGTGCAAATATTGCACATTCAAGATAAGCCTTCAATTCGCAGAAAGTAGTTCCGTTTATAATTTGATCAATTATAGGACGAAATACTCCGAACCTATAAAGATAAATCGATTCTTGAGGACGTTTATCTTGGCATTTGTCACTATATATTCTCTTCGCTCGTCCTATTCGATTTTTTTGCAGAGCATTCTGTACCCTGTTACTCTCCGGGAGCTTTAAATATTAAAGTGTTTCATTTAAATTAGAAGCTATTTTATTGCTTTATTTTGAATCGATGTTATAATCGACGATACAGAAGATTTAGCATCTTCTTTCATTTTCCATGCTGACAAAGTACCTAATTTTTTTAGTTTGCTTGAAGATATGGCAGTGGCCCAATTATTTTAAAAATTTTCAAATATATTATAGCTGTACTTAGTCTTAAATTTACATAAATTATCAAGTTTTTGTCTCAAATTCTTTATTATATATTATAAATTGAAGTGCTATTGGGAGCAAGCTCTCTTAACCATATATCCATCTAAGGGATTTTTCACGTGCCCACCACCTTACCTCACCTATTTTTTGCAGCCTTCTTAACTTATTTTGGCCAGAGGAATTATTCTGTTTTACCCAAGCATCCATCCTTTTATCTGATTCACCGACCTGGATTTTATTTAATTTCAATGAATTAAGAACAAAAAATGTTGGCTATATTATTTCTACAATAAATCAATGTATAAAAATATAATATAATAAATTAATCAAAACTTGGAAGCGTTTTCATTTCATTTGAAAAAAAAACAAAGAAAAGAACGTGGTAATGATGTGTAGCGTCAAGTGACGTTATTGATATATTATGCATTAAAATATAGTAAACGACATTATTCAAATCTTAGAGATATCATTAAAAATAAATAAATGATAAAAGAAAATAATGTGAACATAGTAATATTTTTTTTCTAATCGGCCTCTTTGATATTTTCCTCTGATCGGCCTCAAAAATCGACCTTTTCTCGCGGCCTCGTGGGCAAAATGCCCACCAGGTCTTATGGCCAGTTCGCCCCTGGGATAAAAAATAACAAAAACCTTTTTTTAAAATATTATAAAAAAATATTTAAAAGAAAGGGCCATGGCCATAGTGTGAATTTTTTGAATTAACTGAATCAATACAAGTATAGTCCCAGGTTAGGGAAAAGTAAATCACCGCATCGATTATTATGGGTAGTAGCCAATATCGGTATTGGCCAATACTATAAATTTTAACCGATACTCAAAAAAAAAAGATAATTAACCTTCATAAATTTTAAAAATAAAATTTAGTCAACATTATTAATATGAATTTATAAAAAAAATTTATATAAAATTTCTGAACAAATAAAAAAGAAAGAAGGTGCTCTTCGTTAATCTTTAATACCTATTTCTTTTAATTTAATTAAATGAACTTCATAAATTAATTATTATAAATCAATAAAAAATGATAATATTGTATCATTGTTTTTTTCAATAAATATACTAAATTATTATTTTTGGGATAAGCATTTAGTAACGATTGTATCAATGATACTAAGTTAATATCCGTTTGAGTATATTGGTACATGCTAAAAAGGTGTTATAGATGCCTCTCTGTCATTTTAGTGTATCTATAACTGGTATCGGTCAAAATTGTAAGTATCATATCAATATTCACCTATACCACCAATTGTATATCTTAATATAGATTTTATTGTTAACAGAGACGTCATAAGCTTCTTTATTCAAGGAAAATATTTTAATTATGAGGTCTATACAAATGTTTTCTAAAAAAGCTAAATATTTTATTTTTTATAATAAAAACTTTAAAATTTTTAAATAACCACTGAAGAATGTTCAAAAATAATATAAATTTAAGAGTGGTAATTTAGTCATAGGGTTAATTTGCTCTCCCATTTGACACAAATGATTGCTACTTTCAATGTTTATATTTTAATATTTGCAATATAATAATGATATTTTGTTCTATATGGATATTTAATATAAAAATAAATCTGGACCACGGTCTAATTTGGTTTTCGTGATACTAGACTCGAATTGGTCTGTATTTTGTGGTTGATTTTATTTTTATTTCTAAGAACCCCATTTCTTAATTAAATTTAAAGTCGCTAAACTATTTATAAGCACTTGTTATATCAGAGCAAAAAAATGCCAATTTAGACATTTTTTAAATTTTATTTTTTGAGTAATTCCATGATTAAAAACATAGCATTTAAGCACCTTCAGATAAAAAAAAACCCCAACGACGCCTCGGATATAGATATGAAAATATTAGTTAAGTCATGATATATCAGGCCCTAAATTGATTGACGAATATATAATTAAAATTTACAAGGATGAATTTCAATGATTTCAATAGGTGGAGGGGGTAGAAGAGAAGAGGAGGAGAAATGTAGTTGCGAAATGATAAAGTATAGAAAATATTATATAAATTTAGAAATGGTCAGATTACATCTTAAATTATCAATGAAATCCTCTCATATCATTTTTGAAAAGTTATATTTAATAAAAAAAAAATTTATATCTAAACTTTAGATTTCGTTTGGCCTATTTCTATATTATTTGATAAGGTGCCATAAATGGGATTGTCGTTTTCATTCAAGCTGTCTATCATGTTAAGTTCTCTCAAAAACGTAGATTTTTTATTGAATCTTCGTTTCATTTTGTGCCGGTACTGGGACAGAATTTTTTCATACCTCTCCTTGAGCCTCTTATTGCCAACTTGGTATTTCTTGAATTCGTTCTTAAAGAATGAGGATAATAAAAAAAATAATAGTTAATAAGTTAAATTACAAACTCATTAAATATTTTTTTAAGTGGATTTAGATATCATAGGATTACTGCCCCAGCCTATTATTGCAGTTTCTATAGATATAATGCTCTATATCTTTTTATAATAAATATTGATCATTATCCCCTAGATTAGAATCGAAGGCCTCATATGACACTTTTCATTTTTTCAAGTTTTAACCTCTAAAAAAATTTGACTCATTAGAAATTTGGAAATGTATATATATATTGTCAAAAATATTTCGGAATTATATTAATTTATTTTATGGTATATTATCCTTAAATATATAAAATGACAATTTTAATTTTCTAATTAAAAACGTAATCTATTTCTTTAATCAAAATTAAATTTAGAAAAAGTAATATTTTACCTGAACATTTCTAGTTTCCTGGTCGAGAGTGGCGTCTAGTAAAGTTATGCTGTCCAAATTGAATGTTTTCAGCTAAAAAAAATAAAATTAATTTAAAAAATTCACTTGCCGCATCTTTTTTAACAAAGTTAACAGCCCGGGAAATTCGTGTATAAAAAATATTTTCGGGCCCGGTTGGACAGTTTATACATAAAATACAGATAGGGCCATAAATCCCTGATTTTTCGAAATATTTAAATAGGCCAGCCTGAGCATTAAAATTCTGATTAATACTAAATTACAATATGCTTATTTATTTGTATCCAAAAAGAGCTGTCTAACTAAAATACTAAATCTATAAATAATATAGGAAAATCATTTTAAAAAATTAACAAGTTAATTATGATGATCCGATTACAAATGTACAATACATATATCAAACACAATTTATTTATAAACGGTTGCTGTAAAACCTCTATAGCCACAGAGGAAAGATAAAAGAGACTTAATTGAATTGGGAAAATATTGTATATTGCTAGACATTGATCCTACAAACCTATCAGCGGCTGTCAAGAGTTTCAAAAATCAAGAAGGCGTAGGCCGCACGTCGATTTTTAGCCGCCGTCAACAAAAGCTGCGTAAATCGGCGCAGTTATAAATTTCTATAAAGATTATATTTTATAATCTTTATACAAGAGAAAATTCATTATAAATCCAAAATCGATTTCGTAATTTATTAATTATCATGTATAAAAATAATTTTATTTAAATTTTCGCGACATAATAATAATCTCCTTGAATTTAACGTCAACCCAGAACTCCTACACTGGGTTTTCTAGTTGCTGGATTACGAATAATTTTATTTTGCGATCATGGAAAGACTAGGAAGTTTCCACTTACAGAAATTTAGAACACCCATATCTTGTGAATGTCGTTTTCCAAGAAGAATGTGGCATTTTTGTTCTATCACCTAACGTAGAATCATATTTTTATTTGTTGAATGTTTATTTGTCAATTTTGTCAAATAACTTTTGTCAAATAACTTGAATTTAATAATTTCTCCTGATCCTCAATCGCTATATTTACTACCCGAATGTCATCATTCTCTATAAGTTTAAGAATTTTATAATAAATTTCGGAGCTGAGCAATTTTGCACTATTATATACTTTGACACAATTGTCAATTTTTGAAATCTTGGTTATAGAAGAGAAGCCAATACCTAGATAATTTTTTAAATAAATTAAATAAATGAACATATATATTATTACTTGCAGATCACAACCGGAAATCGTAACGCAACTTACTGTAGCATATTTTCCTTAAGTGAAATTATTTCTGAACTATCACTATCATTTACTATTAAATGTGTTTCAATTTCACTTTTAAAAGTTACACCAAGTTTAATGTAGGCCCTTTATATGCAGAAAGAAATTCGACAGTTTCTTTAAATTTTGAAAGAAATACTAATAGTTCTTTTACCAAATCAGATTCATAGTTTGATAAAGTATTTCCCAATTCTTTTCATTATTTAATCCAGATATGCTTTCTAGCATAATTAATATTCTATGCCACCCCGTTAAGACATATAATTTTAAGGTTTTCATACGCGTGGAATTATTGATATTATCATTGAAATTGCCAATTTGAAAAGGGGTATAAAAATAAATATACTGTAAAGAGGGCTTATTTTAATCATTATCATCTAAAAAAGCCTTTTCTAATCAAGAATTACAGTAAAATTTGTCAGAATTTATGGAAATTGTTTTATTATCTCTTTTTAAATATAAGAAACCAAAGAATTTCGAAAAGAATGATTTTTTTTACTGTTATAACACTAAAATTATATAGATTTATTAAATGCAGATGCATCGATTTTAAAAATATGTAAAATTATGGTAACTTTTGGAATTTTAGATTTTTGATTGATTGAATTGTAAAATGATGTCAAAATAATTATGATTATAATATGAGTAGAAAATAAGAATTCATCAAAATATTGGACAACAGTGATGTTGACCAATTATTAATAAAAATGTATAAAATATGAATAAATTTATGCGCCAGTGTGATTTTAATAAACGGGGCGTTTTCGGCGTAACGAAAATATTTGGCCGACCGGCCCATAGGTCTAGATATTGCTAATAAAAATATGATGGCCATAAATTTCGTACAAAAAATTCTGACCTTGGCGGAGATTTTAACGAGCCGGACTTGACTTTTCATAAATATCGGGTCGAAACTAGTAAATTTATTTAAAAATTTTAACGGGCGGGGCAAACTAGTGCAAAAATTCTTTACGGGTCAAATAGACTTTGCACCCCTCTTATATATCTAATTACTATATAAAAGAATTAAAACAATTTGCTTAAAATTTAATAATTGAGTGGTATATATTTTTTTTAATAAAACGAATGAATTAGCTATCACATTAACAACAATAATTATGTCTTCTTCCAATCCCTGATTTAATTTATCATCATGATTGGGATAAAATGGTAGCTTATATTTTTTTAAGAAGATTACTTTTTTAAAATATCCATGAATGAATTTATGTAAATTTTGTTCAAAATTATTTATTTAATTCATTACGCTACCATTTAATTTATTTTTAAGACATTAAATTTATATTCATTTTATTAAAATATAATCTGAAAACGAAATTAAAATAGAAAAACAATATTTCATCACCGTCATCTTCTTCTTTTTTTAAATTTAGGTAATAAATAGGTATTAATAATTACGGGTAATGAAAATGATATTTAGCAAGTGTTGTTAGTTTTTATGTCTTATTTATTTTTGTAAGATATTCGATAACGTCGTGAATTATCCTTATATACAAATAAAATATCATCATTTTTAATCTCCAGATGTAGCACAAATGTTACAGACTTGAGCTGGAGTGTAACAAGCACAGACTTAATCCCAAGCTTAAGGAAAACAAATTCAGTCCATTTTGTTGAAAAGGAATTTCCATGAGCAAATAGTTTAAAAAAGAGGGTAGAGTTAAGATTATAAAGATATTGTTTAGGTTAATATTTAAAAATTGGCTATATTTAAATAAAATTTATCGTTGTTCAGTAAGTATCTATTTAGACCGAAGTTAAATGTCAATGCCCAATAATTATAAATATAATTTGCTTATATAACTTTTTTTAAATTTCATCGTGTCCTTTACAGAGTTTGAAAAATATCTTCCAAGATTTTTGCAGAATTTAAACGCTCAATTTAACAAAGTTTTTAATTAGCTTTGTGGATAAAAATTATAATCTCCTCCTATGGCCTTACTATCTGTCCAAATTGAGCCACTTAAATGCTAAGCTCTTACAAGGTTTTAGGCCATTTTGTTAAATAGTATAATGCAGTTGGTCTTACTAGTACCTACCCATATTAATCGGTTTTATTAAGTGCTCTTTTTACAAAATTGTTAATAATTTTTATAAATAAATATTATTATGCCATTATCTGATGTAGCTACCTATCAGGCCCGTAACCAATGGGGGAGGGGGGTGGGGAGGGGGATTTATTTTCCATCGCAAATTTGTCTGTTCTCGTAAATATAATTTTAGCTAATAAAAATGTCTCCTCTACACGCCCCTCCCACCTCCCTCTCCCTAAAGAATATACAATATATCATTATAAGGAAGAATTTGAAGGAAAAATTAGTAAAAGTTATTCACTTTTTAAAATAACGACTATAATTCAAATTATTTTTTTTGATGATACTAATGATTTTATTAAATTTCTTTTTACATAAAACCTAGTTAAAAAAATATAATTTATAAATTTATAATTATATAAAAATAAAATTCTATAATGAGTCCCCAAAAAGGAACCATAATTGTGTCTAAAAATTTATATTTGAATTTTTTGTCGAATAAAAAGAAATTCTCTGGGTTCATTTGTGAAAAGTCGTATTTTATTACCCAGATTTTTTAAAAACATAAATTTTGAAGGCGAAAGATGCGCTTTCGTAGAAGTCACTACTGGAGTGAGTATGAAGATTTTAAAATTTTTGTATTTGTTTGTCTTTTTAATTTCTGCCTGTGTTATTAAATTAAAATTTATGTTTGAAGGGAATGATGAGGCCAATGTGTAATCCCATATAAGTGATTTTCCGAGGGCCCAAGGTATGGTTGTCATACCATCAGGTCTTAAGCCATCTACTTGAGATATGTTTGATGGTTCAAGATTGCTCGGAATGTGGGCAGATGTTAGGCTTTTATTTACTATATGGTTCACTGCTGAGTGGCGTTGATGTCGCCCTTGACTAAATATACAATTTAGGCCATGCCTACCCTTTTAATCGACCGGTGATTTGAGATTTGCATTTGATGCAAGCACGAGGCTGTGCGATTTCACAACCTAGACGTAAACCAATGGTTACTCTCAATTGTTCATCTGATAAGAGATTACCAAGGTTACGACTAGGGAGTGATTCTAACCATTCATGACCACCAAGTCTGTTAGATAATTGAAGGAGTTGAATGCAATCTAAAGGTGGATTGATGATATATCTGTTTGGTATTTCGAGATGTGAAAAAATTTTTGTGTGTGATGATTGATGGCAATAAGGTGTTAATAGGTGTGTTTTCCTTCCATTTGTAAATAGCGTCGTCTAATAAACGATCGGTAGGAAATATGAAGCCAGAAATCATAGAATTGTTAGATAATCTAGGTGATACGAATGATGATAAGGATAAAAGATTGAGTGGCAAAAAAACCGCCTAGTTTAGAAGGTAGCTGAGCAAGTGACCAATTGAATCAGTTTAAATTTATGTTTAAAATTTTTTCTAGAAATATTTTAAATTTCCTGAATTATAGATGTGAATTCGTTTTTTTTTGATGATCGGAAAATGTGCAAAAATTTATGTATGTAAAGGCATTTGCGTATTAAAAATAAACTTTGGTGTGCTGGTAGGTGACATAGAATGTGCTCCTTGCCGTAAAAGCTTTTAAAAATGTTATGAAGGAAATCTTCTGACTTGGTAGCATTAGCTAATGGGGACCCAAGTAGGGTTAAACTATCGGGAGCAATGATTTTGTAGCCTTCCAACTTTTGTGCCTTATTGTTTAAGAAACATAATTCTGTTTTATTTATGTTGAATACCAACCCGATAGCTTGGGAATTGATTTCCAGGTGTTTTAAGGCGCTAAGTACATTAGCTGAAGGGCCACGGATGGTCCCATCGTCTAAATACCATAGATTAAGATCTAGGTTAAAATTTTGTTTGATTTGGTAGATGAGATGATGGATTCCAAAAAAAAAAAGAAGAGGTCCTATTGGATCCCCTTTTTGAATGCCCTCTTGGGATAAAATCTGAAAAGATCCATATGTCAAAGGCGTCTGAAAGCCATATGAGGATTCAATAAATTTAGAGTAACAGGGAAAAGTTTCATAGGAGAATTTTAAAAATGAGGTACAATGTAGGCTATTGAAGGTATTTTTGAAATCTAGTTTACATATTATGGAGTCTGGTGGCAGGTTTTCTAAGTAAATTCTTAAGGTATGAACCGCTATTTCGCAGCCGCCCTTGATCCCAAAACCTAGTTGATAAGAGTTTAAAATGTTGACAGCATCATGTTTGATGTGTTCAATTATGATTCTGGCTATTAATTTTCTGAAAAAGAAGCCTACTGCAATAGAACGGGTACCACCATCTGGCTTGGATAAAGCAATTAGACGTTCACCAAAAGGGATTTGGTGAGTTTGTATTGGAATATCATTATTAATTATGTTATTGCAAAAAGTTGTTAAAACCTTGATGACAGAACTATGGGAAGGATTTTTTGAATTAATTAAGTATTGAAAATAGGAGGGTCTGAAACCATCAAGACCACCTGCTGAATTTTTGTTGAAAGAATTGAGAGCATTGACCATTTCATCACTGGTAAAAATTACAGTCTGGTGGATTGGAGAGATAGGTAGATTATCTGTGAAAGCCTCGGGGTTGTTTCAATAGTTGTAATGTTTCTTCATTAATAGAAGAAAGATGGTTATCTGAGAATATAAGTTTATTTGCACCACCTATGTCACCTTTATCTATTTTATTTGATATTATTTTTCATTTGTGTGTTATATCATCTGATTGCTTTTTAACATTATAATTGTAGTTAATCATTTGAATAGTGTCAAAATTATCAATGTTTGATTTTATTTGTTCATTTAATGGGGTGTATTTGTTAGCGGGACGTATAAGACATTTGTGAGAGAAGGTTAATAAGTCTTCCCGTGATTTTAAGCAATTTAAGTTATCATTAACTTTTGTGATAAGTTTTGTAACAAAATTTGAAATTAGCAAAAAAAAAATTAAAATTTTTAGAAAAAAACATATTAATTTAAAAACCCAAAATTATTTTTTATAAAAATCTAATATAGCCAAAGGCCCACATAAGCGCTAGAGATCCAATAAAATTTATAGGGGAAAAAATTTACCTAATAGTGCCCCTCCCCCTCTTAACAAAATCCTTTGCGCCTATGCTACCTACATTTTAACTTTCCTAGATTAATACCTGAGTATTCTTTATGAAGATAGAGGCTTGTTAAATGTTAATTTTGAAAAGTAACTAGTTACAGGTAGTAGTTATAATATTTCAAAAATAACTAGTAGTTACAGTTTGTAAATAATTTTTATATTCCATCATTTTTACTGTTAATTATACAAATTATCAAAGTCTAATATGATTTAATCGAAAAAATAATAGCACTGAAAAAATATACCATGATGTAGCAAATGTTGTTCATTAATCTTTAGAATATAAATCAATTCAATTCACAAAATTTAAAATTATTTCTAAATTTGATTCAAAAAAATTTGTTGAAAAGTCAAAACGAAGATCTATCTATAGTCATTATAAAGATTATATTTATAATTCTATATTAAATTAAATTAATATTTCATTATATTTTTTGGAACGTTATTGTGAGGTTTTTAAAAAGCCCGATTCAGCGATCTTAGCCAAAATAATATTATGTAAGCCTCGAGATTTGGCAAATAGAGGTCCAAACCTTTCTGCCATCTATGAGCAAAATATCGAGGCTCACATAATATTATTTTGGCTAAAATCTTAATCGGGTCGGCTTTAAAAATCGACCCGATTTGAGCTTAACAACCCTAGTTCTGTGTTTCCATTTTCGTTCCCATAAATATAATCAAAGTTCAGTTTCATGTCCTTTACAACATTTTTAGTATATGTGCAATTTCATCATTTAAGTCAACTAATCTAAAAATATTCCATATTTCTATTTGAATTCCCTATTTCTATTAGATTCCCTGAATCCTGATGTGAGCTTGAGTTAATCTGTATAAGATTTTTGGATTTTATGGTGTATCAATTAAAAAAAATTTTTTTACAGAATAAGAATATAGGCTATAATATTGGCATTTTTCAAATATTTTCTGCCCACATTAATAAGAAATGTCCCTTGTCCTACTTTGGCTAATTTAAAAATATGTATAAGTGTTCACATGGCAAAAAACCACCACTATATCTATTTATGTAAGAAAATAATACCATCATGCTTGATTGAATGTTTAGATCCTTATGCATATCGGACATATCCATCAAAGCTATACCTGTAATTTAAAAAAAATATATATTAATATAAAATATTTAAATGTATTATATAATTATTAATCATCGATAAAAGGAAATAATAATGTTAATTATATGATTTTAATTATTACCTCATGAGGAAATAATGTTAAGATTTGTTTAAAATGAAATTGATAATACACGAATTAAAATATAAGCAACCCCTACCCATCTATGTCATAAGTGAATCAATCGGGTAAGGAGTTTTTACAATAAATTTGATATTAGAAGGCGGAGTTCCATACCTCTCGTTGAAATTGGATGAGTTGCATAGCAGTCCTAAATCATCAGTTTAATTTTTTGGGTGTCTTATATTTCATAATTTTTGGGCTAATTTAACTACAAAAACTATGATAAATTTCTTATCTTGTGATAATCTTATTACATTAATACATAACATTAATGAACTTATAAAAAAAACACTAAAAGAGATTAGAATGCTATAATTACAAATATAAGGGAGATGCACGGATACCTTTACATCATCGTTAAAGGTACTAATAGCTAAAATCAATATTTAAATATTTTTTATAAAAATAATAACCCAATATTATAATAAATTAAATTTTTTGATTCTTATTGAATAATTTTTTTTTCGCAATTATAATATAGTCTATTTCATTTTTTTTTATATATAAATACTTTTTCGCAAGATGGCATATTTGAAGAAATGGTTCATAAAAATTAATAACAATCAAAAAATTAATTTATTGTAATCTTGGTTTGATTTTTTATAATAAATTATCTTGATATCAGAAAAGGGTATGGGTAACAAGTTAAGCAGGCCTTGATATCGTTGATGCATCTTTGATATAATAGAAGTCGTTTGATAAGGGAGGAAGGAAAAGGTATTCAATAAAAAATAAATAAATTGACTTCTACCGCCTTTATAAAGTCATCTTTAAATTCTATAATATTTTTTACAGTGAAGAAACAGTACTAAGTAATATTCTCGTCTATTATATTTCCATCAAAATTAAATTATTGATGATAATTTTTTTTCAATACATTTATTTTAAATAAAAATATTAAACCAAACTCTTAAGGGTTCGATTTTAAAAAAAATTATCTTTTTTTTCACTCCCTTTATTACAAATTCTCTTTTATCTATAAGGAAAACGTTGAAAATAAATATTTTGACCTATATCCTTTGTAAGACCCCATCTTTCTGCTCCTGTTTGTCCTATTTTATTCACCGTCTCATAATAGGATTTTGCTGCGTTATTTGAAGCTTTTATATAAATTGATAATTCAAATTATTTATAAGTATTCATTTCTTCTTCCCTTTCCTCTCATTCTTTTCTCCATTTTTTTCTCATTTTATATTTTGTATAATAAATTGTAAAATATATTTTTTTTACCATTTAGAGTTCTAATGTAACTTTTCCCTGTATTTATCAAAAGCTTGTTTTGCGGCAAGAAATGTTCCGTTAAATTCTGAAATAAAAATATTTAAATATTGGTAGTCAAAGAAGTTATAGTTGCTTTAAACTAATTCCATCTTGCAATTATTGTACCCTTTTCTAAAAAATGTTTTATGCATTTAAGCGAAACTATATTGTTATGGACTTTATACAATTCAGTATTATATAAAGATGTAGTGAGTCTTTCTGGAATAACGACTAATCCTTAATCCTCAGGAGATAACTAAAAATTTCTCAATTTTAATAATCTACGAAGACGATGATTTTGCCAGGACTATGTTTCAGCATTTATAAATTTCAGATGATTTCGACAAACACTATAAAATTACCTGAAATTCGTAGGCATAGAGGCTGGAGTACATTTCTAGTAAAATCAGATTCATTTAAAATTGGGAGATTCAGGATATCAGAAAGATTTATACTATAAATTTATTAGCGGTCAGCGCAGGAAGCTTTAAAAAGCTTTTCGGCCAGTTTGCAATTATTTTTTGGCCTGAAAATCTTTTTATCCGCCCGCGGTTTCGGTCTTCGAGCCGCGCTGACTTCCTATATTATACAATAATTTTTAAAATATATTTTAGCAAAATTTTTAGTAATTTCTCCGTCTTTCTCTTAGAAGAATGTTGTAAATTAGTTTTTAAAGTATTAATTTATGAATTTTATCATTTTTATTTTATTGCAAAATAAAATCGATAAATATTATCATAAATATAAACTTTATGAGTTAAAATAAAATCTCCTTTAAATTATTTATATTATTAAAAGTGACTTATAATTATATATAAAGTAAAACATTTGATTAGAGATTTATAGATAAAAAACAGTGTTTTTTTCATGAAAGAAATCATAAGAAAAATTTTAACCAAGATATATAATAATGATTAATTATAAATTGGAAAGACTTTAGTAGCAGAGTCAAAGACCTGCCAGCCCGCCTCGGAAACAAAAATCCGAGCCGAGCTTAAAGATTAAAAATAGCAAATGATATTAATACCAGTTGAGAAATTATCTTATGGATAATTTACTTTAATTTACATCTCACATTTCAGATTTCCGGTTGAAACAATTTACACACAATACAAGACCATAATTATTTGGGCCTAAAACTATATGAGCTGATAAAAAAATTTAAATTTTGGCCAAGCTGGGCTTGCGAAAGGAAAATAATTCTCAAAATTTAGGCTGGGACCAACAATTTGACCTGTAAGTCTCTGATTTGAGCAATCTGTCTCCAAATTTTGATGAAAACAAAAATACTATAATAATATTCTTTTTCTTTGTTAAATTGAATTATTTTCTTAATTTAATAAAAAAACACGTATAGAGTTCCCAAATCCTGTTTAATGGAAAAGTGGAAATACTTTTTTATGTATTTTAAATAAGGCATTAAAATGAATATAAAAATTTAATTGATTATTAACCAGTCTTTTAATAAATTGCATTTAAATAAATAAAAATCAAATTATATTCTAAATCTTGCAAATGTTAATTTTTTTATTCCAAATTTATCACTTACAGATATTTTTTGTAATTATTTGGCCTATAAAATTTTTAGAAATCTGGACAAAACAATTTAAAATGGTATTGCGTGCATATAATTGCTTTTATAGATTTAAATTCCACTATTCCTCTCATTTGTTTATTGTCTATTGAATAATGAAAAAAATTTTAAAATTGAAGCTTTCTATAATTATCAGTTCAATATATCCGAGTAATGAAATATCATAGAAGTATTTGACCCATTTTCGGTGAGGAAGTTTTGTATAATCAACGCACCTCATTTTAGTTGTAATAAACAATTTAAGGTTGCAAAATTGATCAAACAACTTTGACTCATTTAAAGGAACATTTTTATCTTTCAAAAAATGTATAGACTTTCTAAGTCTGACTACTTGGCATTTTTACTCCATCCAACATATTCTAATTCTTCTTGATATTCTGACCTGTGATCAACATATTAAATGCAATGTCTATATAAATATCTTTCAATGCATCTACTATGATTTTTTGTCCATTTTATTATATTTGCCTCATATGTTGATTACTTTTATTGGAAAAATATTTCATTTTTTCTTTCAGTTAACAAATATTTTAATGATTTTAAATGGTTTTAACATTTCTATAACTAATTTAATTTTATTTCTCAGCTGATTTAATTTTTTCATCAATCATATACATCAAGTAATGGGCGGGCAATCCAAAGATATGCGTTTTTATAATCATTTCAAAAAATTTCTCATAATTGGTGGATTGTTAATTGAAAGAAAGTACGATTTTAAGACTTCGTACATTTTAAGAAATGATATAAGGAAATTGCATCGCATTTTTGAGTGACAATAAGTTGTTTATAATTAAGGTCAACGAATTCAGAAAAGTATAAGATGTGGATACATAAAAAAAAATTAATGAAAAATTATAAACGACAAAAGAAATCTAAATAAACAAAATTTATTGTGATGTAAATTGTAAAGATACTTTTCCTGCAAGTAAAAAAAATTTGTTTTAAAAAGAGGACAAATTAAAGTAAAATTAAAATAGATATCGGACATATTTTGGACATCTCAAAGAGAACGTCTGGTTACTCTAGACTAGGCCTACAAAAAAATTCGAATAATTAGAATCGAATCGAATAATTACGAATACGATAAATTTGTTTTATCCGAATACGAATAATGATTTATTCAATTCGAATAAAACGAATTATTCGAATAAAACGAATTATTCGGAATATTTAATAAATTGCTTTTAATAAATCTAACTGTCATTTCTATTTGATTACCTTACAATCTGACAGATAATGTGTTTATAAAAAGACTAGCACAGATTTAAAAAATCTCTGAAGTGGAAATTAAAACAATATTTAAATTTTTATTTGCCGTATTTTTCGAATCTCACGAGAAGTTTATTTTTTGAATATTATAATAAATTATATTAAAAAATTACACAAACCAAAGGTATATAAAATATAATATATCTCTACAATAAATTATTGTTAGTAGCCTAGTTAGAAGAGAATGCTTCTGATGAAATAGTTTTGCTTGATGTTGAAGTTGACAAAATTTCCTCATAAACAGAGCGATTATATTGGATCTATATCAAATCAATAAAGACGGTGAAAAGGCTGCTTGCAATCATTTCAAGAGAATTATAAAATTTAAAGGCAAAACAACATCCCCTCTTATTAATAATTATATAATAGGTTTCATTCACACTTAGGGATTACCTATCTATAATATACATTTTAATTTTGTTTATAACTTGATTACATATTTTTTATCATCAGATTATTGATCACATATTTTTTATAATCAGATTATAATAATCTATATTTTTTTAAATTACGTATATATGTTTTACTTTTAACGTTCAATGTATTAAATATTTTTATTAATAAAGTATATATCAAAAAAAAAAAAAAATGTCAATATATTTGAGTATGATATACAATTATTCGAATAATTCGAATCGAATACAAATAATAGATTTTATTATTCGTACGAATACGAATAGTAAATTATTTGATTTGTTAATATGAATAATGCACTATTCGATTCGAATTCGTTTTTGAATAGGCTTACTAGACACGTGTTTAGACTATATCCTACAATATAACTCATTGTTAATTTAAAACTTATGATTAATTACTATTTCTACCTTCTACAAAAGCTCCCATTGACACTTCCTTTGTGAGTTTCACTTTAACAAAGAAAGTTCCATATTGCGTTATTTTTTATTTTATTCCATATTTTATTTATTAATTTTTAACATAATTATATCTACCTAGTAAGAAGTTATTATGGAAAAAAACAATATTGATTCTTAGATGTGCGTCCACATTCAAAATCTAATTTTCAAAAATTTATTATTAAAATTTACTAAATCTGGACGCATAATGTATAAATGCGAGAATCATTTTTTTTTGAAAAATTTTTTGACTTTGGACTCACTCTTTGTTTATTATGAGTTATATAAGGGCTGGGCTGAATTTGTTTATCAAAGTTTTAGGAAAAATCAATCGAATTGGTTTACACTAGTAAGCAGATTCGCACTTGGCAAATACCTAACCTAATAGTTATTTTTTTAAAAATATTTACATCCCACTCCACTCATCCTTAAACTCAGATCTGTAGATGTTTACATTTAAGGCCTGACACTGATTTTAAAAAAAAATCCATTTCCCAAGCCAATTCAGCATTGATTTTTTTACAAAGTAACCGACTTGGATTTAAAAAGTTTTAATCATTTTACGGCTCAACTAGGGGCAATTTTTCGAAATTTAATCATTCTTAATAAAATTGGCTGTATTCTCATTTTATAAATGGTTTCAAAGAGAAACTGAAAAAATGAGAACAAATGAATGTTAAAAAATCCATCCAGTACATGAGCAGGTAATGGGGGGGGGGAGGTGGGGGGGGGGGGGGGGGGGGAGAGAAGCCGTTTGCTTCAAAATTCTTTAAAGGAGATAGGCTTTTATAGGTGATGTGAAAGGGTGGCTAGCCATCTAAGAAGGAATTCATTGGAGCGTTGCGAAAATTTTTAGACAATTTTTTGGTAGTTTGTAGTAAGAGTATTAATAATGTAAAATATTATTTTATAAAATATAAAGGATTACAATTATAAAAGTGGAAATTTTTTAGGGGGGTAGGTATATGTTTTTGAGGATGGGGGAGGGGGGGGGTTGCCTCCACTGAATTTTCTCTTAAGTGAACGCTGGATCCATCATTTTCGTAACTGGCTAATTGTTATAATTTAAATTTATTTTAAAAATTTGGCCTGACCCGGATTTATAATATTTTTTTCAAATCGGTCTAGGTTTGAATCTTTTATTTATAGACCCGACCCCGATTGACCGTGACTGCAGGTCAGGGCTTTATAATGTATCATTTTTATATTATAAAATTAAGAAAAATTTGTAAGAAAATAAATAGAAAGGAATTAAAATCGAATTTTATTGAATTGTGGATATTGTAATTGTAATTATGATATTCTTTCTCGAGTTGTAAAATTTAATTAAAATATTTTTGAACTTCAGTGTTTTTTTTTATTAAATAATAAATAAAATATCAATTATTGATCATAAAATAAAAATATTAATTATCATTCAGTTTTTTTTAAGGAATTTTGTTATTTTTATGTTTTCTTGTTTTTTTTTAAAGAATTTTCTTATTTTTATGTTTTCTTGTTTTTTTTTAATTGGGAGAAAGAAATGCTAATAAGATATTAACATAGTTATTATTTACTACTATATATTATTTTCAAATTTATTTTATTTTTCAAAATTACTTTAAAAAGAGGAAGAAATATAGGGTAACTCATTTACAAAGTTTAAATTTGTAAAAATTAATATCTCATCTGTATACATATACACTAGTTTACTATTTATTTAAAAATAATAAAGCAAGTAAAATAATTTAGATTATAATATACTTTTGTTGGTAATAATGTTTTAAAATGTTATTTTTAGAAAAACTCAGGATTAGACCTTGTGTCGTATAATAATATCTAATTTTATCTACTATACATTAATATTACTTACTTATACTTTCTTTCCTTACTTTTATTTTCTTCCCTTTCCCACTTTTTTTTCTCGTTTTGTGGTTTTGTTACTTTGAATACAAAATCAGGAAATTTTTTTTATAGGTTATTGTTTAAAAAAATTAAGAGAAGTAAAACTTAGTTCAAATATCCCATTAAAAATTTTAATTTGATATTTAAAACTTTTAAAATATTTTGTACATTTTTTACAAACATCGTGAATTTACATACATCCCTATAAATTAATCGAATATTTCATAAAAAAATTGTAATTTAAGTATATTCTAATCTGTTTTCTTTTTATAATTTACATAAATTTACTATTTTTTAAAATAATTTAGCAAGCCTATTCTGATTTTATAAATTAAAGCTAATATATTAGCTTATCCTGTCTCAATCGGAAACTGGTTTGTATTGACACATTTTAAAACAATGGTTTGAGTAACAAAATAGTCCAGTATATATTTGAAAAATAATCTTTGAAAAAAATCATAAGAGCTATTATATAGCTCACTAATTATACTACTAAGGTTAGAAAAAAATTGATAAGGATAATCATTTATATATAAAGAGACGAGAGTATGAGAATTTTTTAAAAAATAATAAAATATTGAAAATGAAATGAAATCAAATCAAAATTATCTCCTACCTCCCGCAATTTCAATGGCAATCTTGCGTTATACACCCCCCCCCTCTTCCATGACTAGTATTATTATACGGCAATGAAAATGGCACCGAAGACTGGGGAAAATTCAAATACACATTACAGAAATAGGAATGATTGGCTGGAGTCGATGTTTCATTACACTTAACCAGACTATATAGATTGAAGGCATCTCATCAATGATAGCAGAATAAATCTGATGAATGAAAACTTAGTTATTAATCAAGTTTAAAATCCGGGTAAAAATAATATTACTATTATATTAAAAATATCAGATATTCGTGGACATATTATTAAATATAATTAAATATTTGGTTATTGGGACCCACGCCTCCCTACATTTACATTGTTTTTTGTTACGTAAACTTTTGATAATTTTTTCCTTATCAAATTTAACTATTATAATAAAATTCAAAGCTATCGTTCGCGCTAGGCAATTAGAAAAACCTAATTTCCATGCCAACACAAGTTGGATTTATACCTAATGATTGACAGAAACATAAAAGTGGAACAAAATTTTCTGTCCTAGTTTTCGCTATAACTACTAGGTTATACTGTATACCATAAGTTTACATTTTAAAGAATATGGAAGTCCTCTAGTGGATGTTTGTAATTAGTATGAAGCAATTTTAATTTGATGGTATTGCATTTTCAATAAAAATCTGAAAACAAATCCAGAAATAAATTTTTTTTAGAAGTATGCATGTAGTAACTTATCATTTTTTATTAAATAATAAGAAAAATCCAATCTCAAACTAAGTCTAAACGCTCATATTATTTTTTTAAGGCTCAAATCATTCTGGATATTCTTCCTTATAAATATCTAATTTCTAAAAGAGTACTAAGGATTTTTTCTTAAAATTTAACTTTATGAATTTAGATGACTAGGAAAAAGATTTTATTTTATATAAATAATTATTTTGAAATATGGGGTTTTAAAGGAGATTGGTTAAAATATTACCTATCGAACCTATGTACTAAATAAATGACATTATAATTCAAAATCTTAATTTTACCACCATCCCAATCAAAAAAATAATTAAGAGCTATCCTATTTTTTTATAAATATATTATTCATTAATTACATCAAAATGATCGATATAATAATATTAATATTACTGATGTTTTAAAGAGTGCTGGGAAACAAGGATTTTATACACCTAAAAAAATTCATGCCTGAGTTTGAGATCCAAAAGGCTTAAAATGTATTCAACTATATAATCAATAATTATGAATCGAATAATTTAATTTTGTTTATAAATTCAGTAGAGCCATTCACTCTTTCCTTCCTTCGTAAAATAAATTTCTATTTTTTTTTACCTTGTAAATGTCCTCTATCAAGGAATGAATTTTATCGGTTTTATTTAATGTCATTTGATAATTTATACTGTAAGAATATATTCTGATTTGGAAAAAAGGAATAAATATATTGATAATATCTTTATATAAAATATATTCATTCCCCTTACGTCGGTGATTTTAATTATAAAAATTCTTCTCAAAAGTCGATTTTTGAGGTATTTTAATAAAAATGTAATAAAATTAGGAAGTTTATAAAATAAATTATTTTAGAAATATTTCTTCATATTTGATTATTTTGTTTTTGAAAATCAAAACATTTTTTAATAAAAAAAATAATAATATCCAACATTATTATTTTTATATCACAAAGCGTAAATAATATAGTAGTTAAATTATAGGTTTAATACTTGTTATATTAAATTTATACTTGTTTATTAAACTATAAAAATCAATGACATTAACATTGGCTTGGCAGCCGCTTACCAGATTTTTTAACAAATATTTAAACTAAAATTTTGCCCCCAGCAACTGAATTTTCGGGCTCAATGGTAAAAATAAGAACGAATAAGAAAGAGTTAGGGACATTATAATATTTTCTCTAAAGGACCAAGGTAGGATGGTCATAAATTTAAAATTAGACAGATTATTCTGGGTGATAGAATTCTAGAATTTTGCCCCTGAGATTTAACATTAATATTTTATTTATTTCTTTTCTTATACTAAAATATATATATAACTGTTTTTTTGCTTAATTTCAATTTATATTATACCATTATTACATATAATATATTTGTGTTTCATTTCATAACTCTTTATTTTATAAATAACAAAAATGTCCCCAAATTTTTTTAACCCTCGCGGATACGAATTATTTTATATAATATTTCATTTTACAACAATAATAAAAATTTATATAAAAGTTTTAATGATTAATTTATATATTTTTTTAATATTATAATGGTATATACAATAAAAATAACTTCTACAAAAAAATATAAATGGAAAGGGAGGTTTTGTGTAGGTTTAGGTTGAGATTAGGGTAGGTTAATTCGGGATAGTTTTTGGATTTTTTTTATCCAAGAAATAATTTTCATTGAATAAAATTTAAAAAAATAATTATGAGTTTAAAAACTTTAGCTTTTACCAGACCCTCTATCTGCCAAAATATCTTTTTATCAAACGTTAGCATTGCACCTCTAATATACCTTCACAGACTAGGTCGCAGACGCTTCTCAAAATCGACGATTTTTGAAAATATATATTATAAACATATAGTATTGGATATCCAAAAATAAATGTTAAATGCAGATTTGTTGGGCGTTACCTATGTCGTCGACTAATACTGCATTCACAGCGCGAATTCGCGTTGAAGTATAGTGAAAAACACGGTAATCTAAATGACGTATCTTTTATTCTCAGCTGTTACCTTCAAATATTTTTCACTACGCTTTTCTTTTCTTAGTGTCTATTTTATTCAAATATGGTTTATATTTTATTATGGTTATTTATAAATTTTTATAGGCGGTTATATATGATAGTTAGGACTTTGTTGATATATCCTTTCCAGGGCCTAATTGCAATAAGATTTCGATTTTAATTTATATTAAAATATTGTAGTTAATAGATGATGGAGCTCATTTTTCTATTTTAGAAAGTGAAGATGACATGTATTCGGGCTATTTGGAACATACAGAGTAAGGTAAAAAAAAATATGATTAACTTTTTACCAGACAAAAATGGGATCGATAAAAGTTAACATCAATTATACTTATATTTTAATCTTTCTAGATTTAAGTATATATTTTGGAATATGAAATCCATGGTGAATATTTGGGTTGCTCCAATATAAACTAATTAGTACTTAATAACTTATATATCAATTTTGTCAGTAACTGAACAGAACCCGAGTTATAAGCGAAATAAAAACGATAATGACGTATGTTTCGCATCTTAATATCGGATTTTGAATTGTGATTCAAAAATCAATTACACCTAAAAACATTAAGGTCCAGATTTAAATGTTTTTATATCTTATGATTTTACGATCTTTTATAGATATTATTTGTTCTATTTATATTATAGATAGATAAATAAAATAAAATAATTAAAATCTTATTATATATTTGATCTTATATTTTCAAAAATTTGATATGATATTGAATCTCAGCAGCCTTAAATATACAGTTTATCAAGCCTTTTACAGCATTAATTATAAAGCTTAACTTAACTAATATGTAATTCTTAATTAGTACACATTTTCGTTTAATGCTTCAATCAGTTTGGCAGAGAATAAATAAAAAGATTATTAGAAAATAAAAAATATAGATGCACTAAAAGCAACTGTAATAAAAAAATTTTTAATTTGCTATTAATTGATCTGCTACAACATTGAATTGAATTCCGTTACTTTTATAATTCAGTAGCGTAAGCATAAAAAGAAATAAACTGTATTTGGAAAATGTGATACCAAAACAAGATGGAAAGGTTATGGGAAAATGAAAAGGATTACGCTAGATAGTTTTTACTCTCAATCTCTAGGGTAGAGCTATTGTTTTATAATATATTTACTAAGTAGCACTTGGAAATGGAAAAGATCAAAAGTCGATCCTATATGGAAGAAGAAATTTATGAGATTAATTTATAGAAATAGAAGAAGAAAATTTAAAAAAAGATTTTTATCAATTTAAAATTAAATAATTACGAAAACAAATTTTACTCCTTTCATATTTTCCAAGGTAGATGGGAGTTCAACCCTAAATTTCCTCTTTTCGTCTAAATAAAATCTAGAGGAAGAGGGTTATTCCTCAAACCTCCCCCCTCCCCCTTTTACTGACAATTCATCAAAAATAATATAACTTTCTATCCAGGTCCTTTTGCGATTGAACATCAAAATCTTCTGAATTTTATTATATAGGTATTAATAATTACTTCAATTGATTAATAATAGAATTCTTTCAGTCAAGTTTAAGAGAATATGGCCCTTTTCAAAGATTATCAACCACCTAACATACTCAATATTCATCACTTAAGTCAGAAAATCAAATGATAACTACAGTTGAGAATGTAACTTTGAGTTTTATAACCTCACAAATTTAAAATTTGGTTATTAGGCAGTTATGGCTAATGATACTCATGATATCTATATGTTCAGTATCTGTATCAGATATGTAAAAGAAGATAGTCCAGGTGAAACTTTTTTTTCTCTATTAAAGAGGTCGATGGCCTGGATGAGTAATTATTAACTAATATACTATTATAAAAACCTGTAACAAAATTCAATTAAAGGAGATGTGTGGCACAGTCATCGATGGCGCAAATGTAACTAAAGGTAATATTTCAGAAGTGCATGAATGATGGGCTAAGCCTGCAAGGGCTATTCATGTAGGTTGCTATTCCCAAAAGTTAACTTTGGTACTAATATCAGGATGCAATTATGTGGCCCAAGCTTAAAAAAAATTGATGTTCTTGAAAGTGTTATAATCTATTATTCTCCACATAAAATTTAGCGAAAATAGGGTGTGTTTTTGGCCAGTTGTTTGGATAGCGTTATAAAATAATTGGGCTTTTTGATTATCATTTTCAGTAAATTCTGGTACGCTGATGACAATTAGTTTACTTTAGTAGACTCCCATTTTAAAATATCACATCCCATCTATTCATAAAAAAATTTAATTTCGAATTGAATAATGAATTTATTATTAGTAAGAATCAAATACGAATAAGACAATTATTCGATTAGTATGTTTGTAGACCTAAATCAAAATTAAAATCTGATTTTATCTTTTACTTTACTTTTTGATAAAACTTAATACTTTTATAATTTATATAAATATAACCCTCAGTCTAACATGAGAAAACGATCTTCCATATTGAATAACTCTGTTCGTGGATGATATAGTTCTTCCCTTTGATATGATAAAAACAGATTTCTTTTACAAATATATATCTTTACCCGTTTTTGATATAAATGACAAATGAAATATAATAAAAATAATAATATATATAAAGAGCTGTATATGCATTACATCCATCTTCAGGTGGTTTTTTAGATTATAATTCTATCATTAAACATTATATTATTGATTATAACATGAATGATCCTATTGAAGAACACCTTCATATTAAAAAAAATTATTAGGTTCTTCTTATACAATGATGAGAAATAAGTATAAATCTATCATTGTATGATAGTTTTCTTTCTTCTAATTAATATTTAAAAAAAATGTGATGATGGTTTGTAGTGTAAATATAATTGTTGGTGAAGTACAGATGTGTACTATCGGGGAGGCCATGGGAGTTAAAACACCCGCACATTTATTTTCAATTTTTAGCCACATTTCCAAATTTTGAGGAGTGGCTCTGAGCCTCGTTCCCTGCCAAAAAAAATTTTTTTTTTTAAAGTGTTAAATTCAAATAAAAAATAGTTTTAAAAGTGGCTTTGGCTACTTTTTGTAAAAAAAATTTAGAAATAAATTTTTTTATTTTTTCTTATAATACAATTGTTATAGATATAATTAGTGCTGTAAACGTTACTACAAAAAAGAAACGCGTTACCGTTACTCGTTACATCTGAAAAATGGAACGCGTTACCGTTACTCGTTATTATTTTACAAAAGGAACTCGCGTTACCGACTTTTCAAAAAAGTAACGGGCTACTCGTTACTTAAAAAAATTAAATGTTATATATAATGCAAAAAAATATTTATTTTTTTCCGATAATATATAATAAACTAAACTATACAAAAAGAACATATAAGATAAGATCTTTTTATAATAAAATTTTCATATATAATTATAATATGAATAAAATTATACAAAAATAATATAATATAAGATAACATCTTTATGTAACAATTTTTAATTTATTTTTAACAACAATTGATTTTCAAAATTTTGATCAGATAAATATAAGTACTTAGTACTCAACACAGCTTTCGCCGTGCTAAACACACGTTCAATTGGCGCAGAGGATGGGAGAGTGGTGTTATATTTAATAAACAAAAATTTCAATTCGGGGAATTTATTAAAAATATTTAAGGAAATATCTTTATTTTGAAAAAAGCTTGAGAGATCATCTTTACAGAGATCTTCATTCATTTCCTGATCAAAAAAA